TGAACAGAAGGAAGAATTAGCAGAAACAGTTGAAACAAAACAAGAAGGCATTGAAATGAAGAAGGAGGAAGAAGAGGATCGCAGGGATTCTTAGACCAAAGTAAAGAGCGATTTTTCTCTTTAAAATTTTTTATTACTCTGTGGAGTGGTGTGAGGGAGAATTCGTTGCTTCAAATTGGGTCGAATTGAAACAATCAATTTACAAAAATGAAATGTTGAATTTTAGAAACATTGTATTCAATCGATGATAGCTACTATTAAAAATAATAGCATGTCATTTTAATTTTAATGTCTGTAATATTGATAAACTTACTGCTTATTATTAAAAATAGATCTTAAGAAGTAAATACAACGAAGAAATTATAATAAATAAAATAAAAATATACGAAATTTTAATTTATTTTAAATTATTAAGTTCATAAATTAGTATAAATTTATAGTATTATTCTTGAGAGAAATATATAAAAAAAAGTTTTTATTAATTGTTAAAATTACATCATTTTCCACGTTAAATATTTGTAGTGTGATGCATGAAAAATAAAAACAACACAAAATATATTATCGATTGAATACAATAACATATCTTTAATTCAGAGTTTCAAATTTTAAATAAATTGGTTTTACAATTAATTTGACAATTAGGAGCTGTGATTTGTGAACACAGGACCTATAATTCGTGGATACTCAAAGTGGTCGACTTATTTATTGAATTGTAAATACTTTTGTATTTTGTAGTGGACAAACATACAATATATTCGATTTAAATATATATTTAACTATTTCTTAAAGACTTGGAAATACAAGGAAAATATTTATTTTAAAAGTAAATTTATTTATTTATTAAAAACAAGTGGATATTTCTTATTATAAATAACAAAGATTTGTAAATGATTTATTTTGTTAATTTATTTGACTTTTTTATTAAATTTTATTAAAATATTTGATATTTTTCTATAAAATTAAATTTAATAGATTAAATATATATTTTTTGAATCGTAAAATGATTTATTTAAAAAGAAAAAAAATCTTCATCTTCATTATTGTTTTACGTTTTGTAGATACTTTTTAAATATCTCTTTTTATATTTCCAACAGTCAAAGGAACAATAGAATCTATGTATTTAAATCGATCATATTGTATAGATAGATAAATCTTAATATGTAGTAGGATCTTGATTAACCGTGTCTCAGAAACTTCAGTATTTTCACATGGATATTTTCCGTTGATTGAATTGTTGTTCAATTGAATTTTCATTGCTATATTTAAAAAATAGATAAAGGATTATATCATATAATAATCTGTAATCGTACTAATTTAAATCAATTTTCATCTTGTCTGAATGTTATATTAACAATATTTATTTTAATTATATTTTTTTATGAAATACAAGTAAATTAAAGTTAAAAAATTCTTTTAATTTAAAAAGAAATTAAATGTTCAATCAATAGAAAAAGTCAAACTAGGTCAAACAAATAGCTGGAAAACTCGGATAAGCAAGATTCTACCATAGCAAATATTTAAATAGATAGAGAGAGAGATTATATATATATATGTATAAAATATGAATACATTTATATGTATATATATATATATATATGTGTGTGCGAAAGAGAGAATGTAAAAAGTTGACAGAGTGTTTGCATGTATATAAATGGTTATGAAAGAGAAAAGAGAGAAAGTGAAGAAAAAGCGAGAATATATATAGCACCGATGTTCGGCGCGGCTCAATCAAACGAAAAATAAATATTTTCTATATTACATTTTTCTTCATAAGCAGAATTACAGCCTTTCATTCCGCTTGGCTCCCGGAATCGTCTTTATGTTTTTTCTAGGAAACATCAACTTTGAATATATAAATTTAGTAGTAAATTATTTTTAGAAGATTTTGTCTGGGAGTCTTCATAAAGAAATCAAGATAAGTTAATCGTAATTGGTTAATCGTACTTATTGTTATTTATATAAATAATTTTTTAATTTCATTAATTTTTCATTATATCACAACGATATTATTTTAATCGATTATCATTGTGGGGAAATGTTGTGGAAAAGAGTTTGAACATTAAGCCAGTTATGAGCCAAATCGCAATTTTTAATCCAAGTATAGTTTTTTTAAATAAGTATAATTATTTTTTAATACACATTTTAGGTAATTGTCGAATATCGTAGATAAAATATGAGGAAAAAAGACATTTCTTTTCTTTTACTGAGAATAGTAAATGAACTTTTCTTTCACTTAAAATAATGAATGTGATTATTACTTAATGTTAAGTGTAATTCTAATAATTATTTAAATCTATATATTTTTTTTTAAATTTGCAAAAACAGTATTTTTATATATCATCAGTCATTAAACATGATTAAATATTTTTAAATCCGTTTCAATTAACGTATTATCACTCTATTCAATTCTTTTACTGTGCAATTTTTATCTGAAAAATTTTTCCTCCGAATATCGAGCAACGTATTAAAAAAACATGATTTAAAGCAGATACATTCTGTACGTTTTGCACGGAAACAAAGAAAGTATAAAAAAGAAATAAAAAAAGAAAACAAACACTTGAGACGATATTCGGAATGGAATGAAATCTTTTCAGAGCAGCTTTGGATACGTGTTCAGTGCTCATACTCGTGTGTTCACATGCGTGAGTCTCTCTCTCTCTGTCGCCACACGACGATGGAACACCAGCCACCAGGTCGCTTGCGCTCAAACTGAGCGACAAGTGCAAGGTACTGTTGTGTTTTATAACTCATTATATTTATATACATATATATATAAATAAATAAATAAATATACATATATTTGTATATATTTATATTTATTTATTTATAAATATAAAATGATATGTTTCTTTCTGGACGAACTTATACAAATAAATAAGAGATAGTATTTATCTATCTATGGTGCGCGTAACATAGTAATTCCAAGCGAGATAACATTAAATAAATTTTATGTGTTAATTTTCGAATTCTGAAATTTTACTTTTAATAACTTGCATTGATTACAAATGACATAAAATCTGTGCTTTTCAGTAAATTTTTTCTGGAATATAAATTAAAATTTTAAATTCGTGCGAATCATAAATATCATTTTCAATTCATTTTACGAGTAAACTTAATAATATTAATGTCGTATGATTTGTTGCTTCCAATGTCGTTGAGTCCAATGCATTGTTGTAATAGAATATGTAGTTTTCCTATGTAACTATATGTGCAGTAATGATAATTGCATATAAGATAATAGAATAATATTAAATAGGAGTTTATCATTGAACAAAGAACAAAATTTTATATTTTATTTAGTTTACAAGTCATTAAAATATGTACATACTATATTTAATATTGCAAATTTCTAACTGGAATTATCTGTATTGTTAAATTTTGCTTAATTTCTAGTTGATTCTCTTTTTATATTGAATTATAAATAAGTAACGAATTAAGTATTGTAAAATCAAAATATTGAGAGATTTTAACTTCAAGTTCGTCCAGCATGAAATACTTTCTTTTTTTTAATGAATCATCGCGTATTATAAATTTCTTAAACTAAAAGGATTTTAAAAAGAAAGAATATCAAAATTTAGAGTAGTGTATAAAGCCCGTACACCACTCCGGATCAGAGTTTTAAAAAAATTTCTATTTGTTTATTTTCTAAAAAAAATGAAAATTCGATCTACACTATAACGATAAAAGATTGCGATTATTTGGTTTACACAAAGAAATGGTTGGTTGATATTTATGTAAATATCAGTTTGCGTGTATTTATATGCATTAGCAATTAGTAATTACTAATAACACGATTAAACAGAATAAGTATTATAAATGCATAGATCATTGTAAAGTCTATTTCTAATGTTCTCCATAATAGAAACATTATCATTTGTTATATTTCAATCGAACATAAACTAATTTATATATGATTAGCATTTCGTATAGCGTATATAGTTTTTATTTGATCTAAAGTAATTTTTTTTTCCTTTTTGTTTTTTTTATCAAATAAGCATTTTGAAATCTGTGACGTCAATTTGATCGACGAGCAAATTTTCGCGTGCACATGCGCGAAGGTTCATGGTCAATATCAAGTTTAGATTTCTTGTATACATGTTTTAACCTCGAATTTTTACCTAATCGTGCACAAAAAAAAAATTGAATATTCATAAGTGGTCCAATACAGAAAATACTTTGTAAGATTGGATAGGATATTTGAAAGATGACAAATTTCTAATATAAATTGAACAATTATTGATTATCACTATCAATTATATCATCGTTAGAGTTTTATTATTAGCAATTTACATTATTACATAACAATGAATTTCATAGATCGAGCATGATTTCCTATTGATTTATTATTTATATAAATGAAAGTAAGAATTTCATAAAAATTCTCTTTTCAAAAATGTATTGCAATTCTAAAAAGTATATATATGATATATTACAAACTGAGTATAAGCAATTGATTTAGATTGTAAATCATTAAAACATTATTTTATATTAAAACAAAATTTTTTTAGTTATGTAATTTTATTTTGATTAACAAATATTTTTTTTATATTTAATACAATATATACATAAAATAAATATTTAAATTATTAACATAAAAATTACTTCTAAATTTCTAAAAATGAAGATACTTAGATTTGTAATATTTTGTTAAAATGAGAATAAGTAGATAACAAGTAAGTTAGAAATCACAAACTTTCTGTTATATAAGCTTAACCTTTATTATTATTAACACAATTGTACAATTAATTACATTTTCATGATATACAGTTTGAACTAAATATATTTTAATATTTGTTTCAGGCACAATACATCTTGGAATAATAAATGGATCTACTGCGTGGTTTTTTCTCAATGTATTTATTGTAAACATGAGCATTTTAATAAAATTGAGATATGAATGTATGTTGCAATACGAACATCGTATTATACTAAATAATTTATGTTAATTATTTTTACTTTATTATCTGCTTGATTTTCTAATTTATATTCAGAATTTTATAATATTGAATTAATATTTCTTTTTTCGTGCAATTGAATTATTAGTTGCAATTACAAAATATCGCATTGTTTTTCCCCAAAAAATTAAGATTGATATAACACGTACAGTAAGATTGTTTATTATATTTTATTTTTAATTCTTTCGTTTAAATTTCATAGCTTGTGAAGATAATTTTGGTGTTTATGTTAAATATTACTAAAAATGCTATAGTAAATATTACTTCAAAAATTTTATTAAACGCATGGAATATTAAGTTTACAATAAATGTTAATGTAAAAAAAATATTGAAATAATTAAAATATCAAAAATTATTTAACACGTTATGCGCCGAACTTATTTTTGTTTACCTTTCCGTTCGCGCCGCGATAGCTGTCAGAGATACGCAAGATTGCGGTAATACTACATTTATACTTATCTTCATATGTATTCTTTGTATATTATATAATCTTATCGCAATCTGTTTTACTATTATGCTCATCTTTCTAAGTTCTTTTAGAAATGCTTTCTCTTCAGCCAATTGCTTTTGTTTTATGTTTTGGTGCAATCAGAAGAATTTCTTTTCTATCCATAATAATGACAATGCCGGCACAGGACGGATGTGAAAATATCATAGAATTATGTTATTTTTTCATCAGAGGACGATGATTTTGAAGAATGACATAATTCGAAAAGGAATCAATCAAAAATTATGCTTTCATTAGTTTATCTGGCTTCAGGATTAAAATATGAATATGCAGACACATGCAACAGTTGAGAAGTGTTATAAACTATTTGTGGTAGATGAGTGAGGAAATCGTTAAACAAACGAACTTATATGCATCACAAAAATTGGTGGAAGAAAACTCGCAATGTTTGTGCAAATAGACTATAACAAACAAAAATGAGATGACATTTTTTTTTAAAAAGTTTAATACCAAATTGTATGTTAGAATAAAATGTGTATATTATTTCTTATATACACATATATATTATTATTTATTCTAATACACACACACACACACACACATACATATATATATATAATATTTCATAAATGCCTTAAAATTTAAAAGCAAAATAATAAATAGTAAATAAAAATTCTGTATCAAATATGACACCATTTTATGTATATGATATATATTTATCTGAAAATATATTTTGACTTTGTAACACAAATTTCAAACAACCGAGAAATAATTGTTAAATATTCTTTATACATTTAAAGTTAAATATAGATTTTAGTGAATAGCATTGTGATTTTTATTTTAAATAAAAATTATAATGTAGCTACAAAAAATCATGACAATGTTATATCAAAATGTTATTGTTTAGAAAGTAATGCAGGAAGTTCATAACGTATTTAAATTTAAATTACTTAATTAAATTCGAGAAATATGAGAATTAGAATTTTACTATTCATAATTATAATTATAATTGTATAATTTAATACATTATTTTGTAATACGTTAAAAACCAAAATACTTTTTGACTTTAAAAATTAAGTTAATAATGAAAATTTCTCTGTCAATAATTTTCTCTATTTAAATTAAACCTACAAATATAATTATCTAAAGCTTATTAACAATATCTCCAGTTTGTCAATTAATATTTCCAGTTTTGTTGAATCCAAATTATTTGAATGAATTTGATATTTCTTAATCGATATTTTAATCATCTTAATATAATTTATAATTTTGAAGTACATGTTGTAATTCTAGAATATTAATTATATCGTGAGTATGCAATAAATCAATCTTATTATTTTAGTAGACATGAATCACAACTATATTCATTATGTAATTATATCTTCAAACCATAAGTTGTGATTTATAAAATCATAGATTATATATATATATATATATATATAATGTTAAAATATAAATGTTATACATGATGTACAAAGTATATTAAAAAAATGTTATAATTAATCTTCTTTATCAATAGCTTCAATTCTTTCGAGAACTTGAGGATGATTATGATGCCAACTAGAATACAATTTATCATGAAGAGGATAACTAAGATTATCCTTATGTAATTTAATTAAAGAGCTTTTTAATGCTTGTCCATGTCCCAAAATTTTTGCAAATTTATCTGCCTCAAATTCAAATCTTCGTCCAAGTATGTTTGTTACATACTGGAATAACTGAAAAATTATAAAATATTATTTTAAATGCCATTATTTGACACAAATAGAATATTCATAAATTAAATAGAAATTAAATTATTTTATATAATTTTATTCTTTATATACTATTCTTATAATATTTTGGAATTTCATCAAAAGTAATGAATTCAACTTACCACATTTGGAGGATTTGAAATATACATAGTAATAATAATAAATCCTATAAATGTAGGTTGGACATCCACAAACCCAAAAGCTTCAAATATAGGTTTATAATTTACAAGTTTTGCATATAGAAAAATATTTAGCAATAAATGCAGCTGTAAAGATATATTTTTATAGATTAAAAAAAATTGAGACGTATTATTATAAATATACATAGTCTAAAAGTTTACCTGGCCAAGTATAAATCCTTTTAATGTATGACTATGGTTCCAATGTCCTAATTCATGTGCCAATACTGCTAATACTTCATCTGTAGTACAACCTTTTGTATCTGTTTCACCTTCTGCTGGTTTATAATATTCCTTGACTAAAGTATCGTAGAGAACAATTCTTTTATGTTTGTAAAAACCATAGAGATATGCATTGCTATGTGAAGATCGTTTTGAGTTTTCTACAATAAATATTTTATAAAGTGGATAATTAATTGATGCTGCTAGCACTTCAATCTTTGTTTTCAAATCTCCATTTGGAAGAGGTGTGTATTTATCAAAAAGTGGTGCAATTAGTTCTGGGTAAATAATCATAAGAAAAAGGGCAGCAACTATTAAAAACATCCAAAGATAAAGAAAACAGTAGTCTCCTCCATTTTTTATGATCCATATTACAGCACACAGAAGAGGTATTGTAATGACTTCATGTACAACAAATTTAAGAAGCTGATCTTTGATAAAAAATAATGGTGTCTAAAATTAACAACTTTGAATTAATAATATAAAGATGCTTTTTCATATATTAGGCAAAAAATGTTTATTTTCTCACCTCTTTATTAAATCCATGTTTTTGTTCCAGGACAAATGTAAAATAAATCTTAAATGGCAAAAATATTATATCATAAATAATGTTTATAATGAGCATACAAACAGCACTTATGAGAATTTCATTTGTATCATCCAAACCACAATATTTGACTATATCAACACTCCACATCCAAAATCTGTGATAGCATAAAGTTAACAAATAGACCTGCAAGTATTCAATGCTTACAATGTTACATCCATTTTATTTTAAATATTATATTTATGAAGTAAATCAAAATTTCATACCATAGTACAAAGTTCAGAAAATATACTCTCAAAATCATTAAATGCTAACTTATCTAGCAAATAAATGCGTGCTTTATCGTAAATATCTTTTGTCATTAAACCTTCAACAGATTTAGGTAAATCAACCAAACGAGTCACAAAATCCCTCTAAAAAAAGAAATTCACATTTTCTTATATACACAATATAGAATTATTTCTACAAATTTAATTTTACTAATAATAGTTATTTTATAAACTAAAAATATAATTTTTTATTATTATTATACAGTTGAACAAACAGATTTCTTTAAATATTTTATATTTTATAAAAATCATGAAATTATAACAAATATTATAAATTAATAAGATAAATATGTCCAGACAAAATTCACAATATTTACCTGACGAAGATTTAAATAATATTTCCAAAGAAATAAAAGCCATGATACCGCTAAAATTTCATAAAGTATATTTTCTTCGATAAATTTTACAAAATTAGACATTATTTTATAGTTAACAAATCAGAATTTCTATTCCTGTATTCTAGCGTGATTGCCGGTTTACTGAAACAAAGTTGGATACAATTGAGGTTAGTGCCACACATATGCTATTGCATATATGTATTATCTATGTATTATCATCTTATGACATTAAAATTAATATCATAAATTTTCTTATATTAAAGACATATCTTTAAATACTATGAATTTTATTTAAATCGAGAAACAACAATTTTCAATTAAAATTATCTACAAATTTTAAAAAATAATAATAAATATCGAACTTTTAGTAACTTTATTTTGAAAATGCAATATCACTATGAAAGAAGTCAAGTTGGAAATATGACTGAAGTTTTGCAAATAAAAAGTAATACACAATTGTCAACAAACACTATATGTGTGTACTTCCGTACTAAATAGGTATAAATTATTCTTCTTTACATAAGTGGGAAGATTATGAACTTTGTACAACGAAAGACATAAAGAATATGATAATATTATTATAAAATATGGCGCCTGAAAGAACAAATGGTATTAATGGAACTCAATTAAAAAATGTACCTAACAACATAAGCAGGTATGGGTTTTACATAAAAATCGATTTAAACTAGTATTTACAACATAATATTTAATAATTGAAGATAAATGATCGAGTAAGTTATGTGTTAATAAGACATAAATATCTTATTCAAAAGAAATAATAAAAGTCATTTTTTATCTTAAATCATGAAAAATTCATAAAATAGCATTCTTTTTCCTTACATTTCATTCTATAATTTAAGAATAATTTGTGATGTAATTAAATAATACTTAACAAGTATTTTTTTCTATTTAATATCATATGATTAGTATTATCGCTTTTAAGTAAGACAATTTTGTTGCAGTATACCAAATGCATCGTCACTGCTTTCTTCTTCAAGTCTTCAACCAGGAAACCCTCCACCAATACCTCTGCGTCAACCGGTTCAAAATTATTCTGGATTTAGTGATCATAGGCTATTTGGATCTAATTATAGTGGATTTGGTGGATATGGTAGTCAATATAGAGCATTTAGTGGATACGGAGGATATAATTCATATAGTCCTTATTCTACTTATAATAATTATGGAATGTTTGGTGGACACAGTGGTGATGCAGAAAATAGGTAAGTTTCTAATACTGTTAAAAAGAATCTATTGTAATGTCTATTTCTTTAAAATTATATTCAATTATTCTTACATGTAATATAATATGTATGTATTTTGATCATATCAAAATGTATATTAATCATATTTACGTTTTCACGTTGATTTTTCATATATGTTGAATAATAAAAAATTTTGTAATTCTATTCCTAATTACAAAAATTCTATATTTTCAAACATAATTTATAATTTTTATAATTATTATGAATATAGATATAAATGAAATAATACAACAAATTAATTAAAGAGTTAATGCAGTTTTGATTGAAATAATAAAATAAACATTTGTACTTTTTCTAGATTTTCCCAATATGTTGAGGAAAATACTAGATCAACTTTTCAGTCATTTGAAGCAGTCCTTCATACATTTTCATCCATGACAATGTTATTGGAATCTACATATTTTGCTTTAACAAATTCATTTAGAGCAATTTTAAATGTTGCGGAAAGTATTGGAAAATTACGCTCTATTTTAAATCAGTTATTTAGTACTTTTGCTTTGATTAGATTTTTAAAATGGTTATACAGGAAAATTGTACGCACTACTGGTAAGATTCTGTACTATTTTTTAAATTTAGGTTTTATGTAATATTTAATTCTACTATTAGTAAAATGCTACGCTAACTTTATTTTTTCTTTGTAAATAAGAAATTTACTATATATTTTTTTAATTTGTATATCTTTTTATTAAATATCTTTCTAGGATACCAAAATCAAAATTCAATAAATGAAGAATTATGGGATAAATCATTAGCAAAAATTGGAAATGAAAATGTACATAATTCTTCCTTTTGGTCTGGATTTCTAATGTTTAGTGCATTTTTTGTAGTACCTTATATAATTCATAAAATTTCAAATAATATTAGAAACTTGCAAGTAAAAGGTAAAATATGTTAAATTGCTATTTAAAAATTAAATTACAAATTTTTTATATATGAAATAAATTGACTATAAATAAGAATTTAATCTTTAGGAAAAGATCCAAAAGAATGGCAAAAAATTGAGGAACCTTCATATATTGCAACAGTGCTATATGATTTTCTTGCAACTAATAATGATGAACTTAGTGTAAAAGCTGGTCAGACAGTTTATCTTGCACCAAGGTCTTTACAACCAAAAAATTTACCAGGATGGTGTAAAGCTACCAATAATGTAAATGTTGGTCTCATTCCTAGCAATTACATTAAACTTATAGGACAATTGAAAAAAGTGAAAAAAAATGAAACAGCCATTGTAAATGAAGAAAAGTCCTCTGAAAGTGATCCTCATTCTACCAATAATAATAAGAAAGACATAGAGCCTATAAGAAATGATAGAACTGTTGAAAATGAAGTATGAGCAAATTGGTTTTAAATATTTTTATTATATATTTTGTTTCAACAATATAATGTCATTTGAAATTTTTCGAAATTTCATTTTTACTATAACTTAGATTCAATACTAAAGAAATTTTATTTGCAAAAAATTATGTGGGAAAAAAAGTTTATCTATAAGCTAAGTTACAGATTAATTTATGATCATTTAAAATTTAAATGATTATTTTAAATTGTCGCAAATATAGAAACAGTGGTCTATAAAATAGTAATCTATATATCAATTTAAGTTATAAAATAATCACATTTTCAGAAATTAAAATTTTATTTAAGTTAAAATGGGAAATATTTTAAATTTATGTAATATAAGATCCAAGTTATTAATATTCCTTTTCTATGGGTATAATAAGTGGAATTATTAGTACATGTATAATGTATGAGACTATGTAATATTTGTATTTATACTAAAGTTTATAATAATGAAACTTCTGATATTCAATCTGTCCTATTGTTAAATTTGTATACAGTTTTTTATTTTAATTTTTATTTATAATAAATTGGATATTTAAATTATTTGATATTGTTCTATTTGTTACATTTAAAAAATTAAATATTAAGGAACATTATAGTTTTATATATATAACACAGCATATTCCATTGATAATCTTAAATATCCGTTATTTTTAGAGATATGAAGAAACTTTGTTAATGAAAATTATTCAGTACAGAGGAGGACTATATTAGATAATGATTTTTTTTTTATAAATGAAGAGGTTTCAGAGGTTTTAAAGTCACTTCCATTTTTCAAGTGAAATAATATACTTGTCATATAATGAAATAATTAGTTAATGGAACTCGACATACAAAAATAAATAATATAATAACTTATATGTCTAAAAATTAATAGTTTAGGAGATACTTTAACTTCAATTTTATAAAATCTATGCATGAAAGACAAGGACAGTATGAACACAAAAATATTGCACCTATCTTTTCCTATTAAAATTAAGATTCATAGAATTAAAATTAAAATAAACCTAATAGTTTTTCGACGTAATTAGATTTTTTTTTTACAGACTATCATATTGTATCGATTAATGAATCAAAAAATATGATTCCATTTAGAAAAATGGAGATAACCTTGAAATTATACTAAAAATTAATTATTGCCATTCATGCAAAAAATTCTTTGATTGTACAGGAAATTTGTAAAAAGAACAAATACTTGCAACATATTGTTATAAGATTTTCTTTTTTTAAATAATAATTATACTTACCATAGCAAATAAAAATTTCGAATTATAATTAAAACTTAATTAAAATAAAAGAAATGAAATTGATTTTTGAGGAACTAAAGAATTTACGATCATTTTCACATAAAATACTTTATAGATATATGTATATTGAATATGTGTGCAATAAGAGTTTGGACACACACACACACATATATGTATGTAATATATATAATTTACAATTTCACTTTCTCTCTCTTTTCAACAATATTAACAACAGATTCTACAGTCTACACAACAAATTCTTATTTTTTTTAGCGTTCTAGAAGGGAATGTTTTGTTAGAAAGGAAAGTAAAATGAAAAGAAGAGAAAAGAAAACATGAGAGGAATTTTTTAATCATTGAATTTGCGATTAGGATTGGATCCAAATAGGGCAGAACGTATATCTGGTGTTAGTTGCTGTGCTATTAATTCTAATCTTGTTTCCAAAGTATTGCTGACTTTTATACGTCCTAAAATCAAATTGTTATAGATTATTTAATTTTATTTATAATTTATAATGCAACTTATTAAAAAATATACATGATTTATTTACCTCTTGCTGCAAGTAAATCAACACCGCCACAGCTATCAGAAGGAAGGAAATTATCTTGATCAATTTTAATTGTAACATCCTTTTTTGTTATTTGTTTATAAGCATCTTGAACAGAATCAAGAAGTGATTCTACCAGAGGAAGATCTATTTGACGTACACGAATAACAATGTGGCTTTCTGTTAACTACAAATTAGAAATGCATAAAGATAAATTTTGTAAATATTTATCTCTTCTATAGAGTACAAAAATGAATAAAAATAACGTTAAATATTGTAAACAGCAAATTTAATTATTTTAAATGTAAATAGTCTTATACCTGGCATAATCCTTGTATAATTAATAATTTTAAAATTTCTCTATATCGTGAAATATCTTGTGTTACTTCTCCTAATCTCTTCCTAGCTTCATCAAGTACATTACGCACATGATCTTCTCTGACCTTCAGAACTTTTAGACGAGCCTGATTCAACATATTGGATGATTGACTGTAAATAAAAAAAAAAGTTGAATTACTTAAATAAAATCTATAACATTTACATATAATATTAAATTTTATTAAAGATTATTATAATAGTGATATTAAACGTACATCTTTTTCTGAAGTTCTACTTGTTTTTCTTTTTTTTCATAATATTCCATAATTTTAAGCCTTTGTTGTTGAACTAAACGTCCCTTTTCAATATTAAATTCTTCCTCTGCTTTAGCATCAATTTCCTCTGCTTTCTCATTGGCTTCTTGCTCAATGAAAGCCATCATGTGATTGATCTAAAATAATAAAAATTACAAAAATATATTAATGATAGATATTAAAGTAAAAGTAATACAGAATTAAATTCATCCGAATTTTCTAGATTTATTTCTATTTTTTATAAAAATATAAATTTTTATCCGTGCATAAAATTTCATCGATTGAATTTAAAGTAAAACATATAAAGGAATAACAATACTTCTAACTTAAAAAAAGTAAGTGATTAATAATTATTTTAAATACTTCTTAGTTCTCTGTTTTAAAATTACTATTTTTGGTAAAATTTCAATTCAAACGAAATTGCTACTAAAATTATTATTTATATAAAATATAACTGAACTTACTTAACATGTATCTTCAAACAGAAACTTATATTAAAGTATTAAACTTACATTTAATTAATTTATTTAACTGTAAGATGTTTGAATCATTATTAAAAAGAGGGAAAACTGTATGAACAAAAATTTCTCAAAGAAAAGTGACAGAAACAAATATTCTATCCAAGCGACAATATAGAGTAAAATGCAAAAATAGCTTAAAATCGATGCTCAAAAGAAACTCCCAAATATTTCAGTTTAAATGACACATTACCTGTTTCTGTACATCTGCGTCGCTTAATGCCATTTTGAAGTTCAAGGATTTGCCGATCTTTTTCCAGCAATAATCTTTCAATCACTTTTTGGATACACGAATTCCAGATCGAATTTTTCGAGAAGTCAACGCCTACTAATGAAAGTATCTCCAGTTAATGATGATCATATGACACAGGTAGTGTGTTCGTAAAATTGATTCGTTTAGTTGAAATATACATATCATGGAATGTGTTCGCAAAGTTATTAAGATTTACTACTAATATTCATTCGAATGAATATATACTATATGTAATTGTAATTATATTAATATAAAATTAGTAACTTTAATGTAATATAAAGGTACATATAAAGGTGATTTATATATGTATGTACGTACGCGTGTGTATAATAGTATAGAACAGTACTTTTCTAAATTAAAAATTGCAAGCAAACTTTTGCAAGAAACTCTCAAAGCAAGTAAAATTTTGTTTTAATGATCATCTTTAATTAATAAAAATCAAAACTATCAACGAACAACTATGGATGAATTATTAATGAATTATAGAACAACTTTCGCATCGTATAGTTTGAATTAGTTTTGACTAAGCGGCGCATTTAATAAAAAAGAAAAAAATTAAACTTCAATAATTTTTAAAACTTTCTTTTCATAACAGAATATGGTAAATCGGCAAAAACTGCTGGTTTGCAACGCAATATTCGAAAATCTCTACTTTATATCGTGTGTGACACTTTGATAGATTTCAAAAGTTGAATTAACTAGCCCGTCTCTAGCGTGCGTGTTGGTGGTTGCGTTTCGTATTTTTATAAGAAAACATTGTTCTTAATTGAAATTTTGCACACTCTAACAATTTAATAACATAATTCGCCGTAAAAGTCGACGTATGCTATAATAATTGTCAAACGACTGTCAAGTAAATTTCAAAAAAGGTAAATGCTTCGTCGACTCTAACCTAGTAATGTACATGCTGCCGTTCTTCATTTGATCTATGAAAATCATTAATAAATTGATTCTATCAGCGTCTTAATTCTTTGTATTATTTTCAATTCTGCCTGGCAATTAGTCTGTTATTAATCTTTTACGTTTTCTTCTGGAACTTTCATAATTATTTATTGTATATTTAATTTTTAAGGTTAAGTTATTAGTTTTCAAAGTTAATGTACAATTAGTTAAAGACACGCGGATATTAAATAAACATCAAACTCGAATTAGTTTAACAATCGACTACTTAAACAAAAGCAATGTAAATTAAGATTTCTTTCTCAAGATGACAAAATATACAAAAATTGGTCAATCACATTTTGTTGTATAATTGTACATTTGCCGAAGTTGAATTATTTTATTTTTGTCTGAATTGGTATTTTATTTTCATCAATTTTAATTTGTTTTAATCTTATTTTACAAAAGGAGAAATTGAAATTAATAGACAAAAGAATAATTCTGGTCCTTGATATCGTTGGAGTTGTTAACTTTATTTGATTATTTGTTGTACATGTATGAACGTAATATTATAATATAATTTATAAATTGTGTATCATATTATTATACTATTAAGTTATATATATTATAGTTAAGTATTTATATTATGAATATATTAAATATTTAATTGAAATCTTTAAAAATTAATGCATTGTTCAATATGTATAATATAAAAATAATAAAATTCTACTAGTATAATTATGAAATTGAAGAATTAAAGAATATAACAAATGATTTAAAAATATTAAAGAAATTCTTTATGAGTCTCACATATATATGTGTAATTAAATATATAGGATAATAAAGATGTCAAGTGCTGAAACATTAGCAGAAGTAACAGATGTAGTTCAAATTCTGAGACAATGGGAAGAGGAACATTCATCACCTACATATGATCCAGTTCCAACATTACGAAGACTGGCAGAAATTATAGAATTAGAAACAGAGAATTATTTGAAAATGGATCCTGACCCGTTTGATGAAAGACATCCATCACGTACAGATCCAGAGTGCAATTTTGGACATATATTGAAAGTGTTATTTAGAAAAGATAATTTTATGACTAAGGTAAGTTTAGTATTAGAAAAAAAAAAATAATATAAAATTATTATAATATAGAAGATTATTATATAATTTATTAATCTGTTAACAGCTTATAAATGATTACTTAAGAGACACTTATTGGTCACGTGCAGGAATTACGGGTCGTGATGTTAGAAAGCTCAATATTGCAGCTTGTCGTCTTATGCTTGATATTCTTCCTGGTTTAGAAACTTCTGCAGTATTTCAGCCAGATATGGAAGGACTTATTCATCGTTTGTTTTCTTGGGCAGAAAAAAGTGTAGAACCCTTACAAAGTTATGCAACTGGGCTTGTAGCTGCTGCAATGGAAGTTCAGGAAATTGCTACAGGTTTCATTTAATTTTAAATAAAGTTTTATATTGGTATCGATATTTAAAATATGTAATTTAAGAAACAATTATTTGTTTGTAATTTTATTAAAGGATTTAGAGAGCAAAATGCAAAAATGGTACCTCTGATGCTACAAAGACTCCATAAATTACAAGAGGAAGCTCAGGAAGAAAGACAACTTGCAACTAACAATAGGCCATTTGCACATTTTGGCCAAGATAGAAATAGTGGAGGAGATGGAGAAAATAAAGGTGTGCCTGGGAAAAGAAAAGTAAGAATAACTCAATGTATATATAATAAAATTAAAATTGACATTATTTTGTACATATTATGCTTTGTGAAATAAAATTTAAAGGTAAGAGAAAAACGGAAAGAAAACGATATTCTTAAAAATTCGAATCATGGTAATTATTTTTCTGAAGAAGAAGAAGATTGTCCTCAGTCCTCTGAAGAGTCGGCTCCGTTACCTAAAAAAAAAAAAAATAGTGCAGAGTGTGAAACTACTGTAAAAAATAATACAGTATATCCAGAGATAATGTCTCCACCTTTGTCTGTGCCAAAAAATTCTAATTTAAATAATCAAGTAACACCATCCAAGGCACATAGTACGCATAATAAATCATTGAATGTTACTTCTGTAAGATGTAATTTACAAAAAAATTCTTCATCTTCAATGCAAAGTTCCACTACATTATCAACATTATTAGAAGGGAATTCTAATTCTTCATGGGCAGAAATGGAATCATATGTCATTGGAAATATACAAATGCATCCTCCAACATTAGGTACAAGACAAATGTTAATACTGAGGTAAAGATATTAATTTCATATTTCACATTATTTTCAAGTATTTATTAAATGTATTTTGTAATAGGTATCTTACACCAGTATTTATTTTGTATTTTGTAATAGGTATCTTACACCAATGGGTGAATATCAAGAGTTTTTAGGTCATGTATTTGAACAAAATGCTTTGGAACTTATTTTAAAATATATCAATGTTAGGGAAACAAAGGATAGTCGCTTAGCATTTGAAGCTTTAAAATATTTAGCTTCTCTTCTTTGTCATAAAAAATTCTCTATTGAGTTCCTCAGTGTTGGTGGTCTACAGAAATTATTAGATGTTCCAAGACCCAGTGTTGCAGCTACTGGAGTCTCTATTTGCTTATACTATTTAGCATACTGTGAAGATGCAATGGAAAGAGTATGTCTACTGCCAAAGCATGTTATTTCAGATCTTGTTACTTATGCATTATGGCTTCTAGAACGAAGTCATGATTCTGGAAGGTGTCATGCAACAATGTTTTTTGGCTTTTCTTTTCCATTTAAAGTAATACTTGAAGAATTTGATGCACAGGATGGACTTCGAAAACTTTTTAATGTGGTAAGAATTGTTTTAAATCACTGTTATAAATTTTAACATTCATTTAATTAATTTAATATTTGTTTTTTTTTTTTAAGATATCCACATTACCAATTTTAAATATAGAAGAAGAGCCAGCATTAAATGATGATGAAGAATGTGCTTCTAGACAAATAGTTAGGCATGTTGCAGTAGCTTTAAAACGATATATGGAAGCCCATTTACATCTTAAAACAGAACAATTACAGAGAGCAGAAAATGTTAGAGCAGAGCGTGATACATGGCAACCATCATTACCACCCTATAAAGCTGTGAAGTTAAGTAGTGAAGAAGTTCAAGCAAAGGTAAAAATATTAAAATTAAAGTTATCAAATATTACATGATAATTGAAAATTGCACATAGTAATTAATTATTTTTTACTATTTCTGACATAATATTAAAACATTAGTATGGCATATATATATATATACCATAATAAAAAAGTATCTATTAAATTTATTTTTATTAAAGGTGGAAATACTTCAGGAATTAATGTCTGTAAGAGCAGTATGGCCGCCAGTAGAGGAGTTATATCGTCTTGGAGGCATAACACTTCTTCTACAGATTATTGCTTTTGCTAGGGAATGGAATTACAGTGGCAGGGTTCATACAACTTCTAGTGCAGAAACGGTTCGCTCTTGCTTAGACGTAATAGCTATTTGTTCTGTAGTGCCAAAAGTGATGTTATTACTTTGTGAAAGAGTAGACATGCCTGATATGTCAATGACAATGGCAATTAACTTACTCTTAGCTGCAGCGGAATGCGAAATTATTGCAGATCCTGATGTACAAAGGGCTGCGCTAAGAGCTGTAATTAATTGTGTCTGTGCTCCTATAAATAGGGTAATGATTTATATTAAAATAAGTATCAAACAATTGAATAAATTTAAAATGACTTATGTATCACAATTATTTGTTTGTTTTTGTTCGTTACAGATTGGTGGTAATGTTGCAAGATATTCAGTAACAGGTTCTGCTAAGAAAAAAGCAAACAACAATAGTGAAGAACTAATACAAAAAATTTGGGGAAGTGTTAGGTCTAATAATGGAATAATGGTATGTATGTGAATATTTTTTTATAATTATATACAAAATTATTTTATCTAAGCAAATGATAATTATAAACAATTTTAATAAATTTTAATAATTCTTATATTAAACACCATTACATTTTTCTTAATTTAACTTAATTTTTTTCTTTATTTTGTAGGTTTTATTACAATTGATGATGGTTAAAACTCCAATCACAGATGCAGATAGTATAAGAGCATTGGCTTGTCGTGCTTTGGCAGGTTTGGCACGAAGTGAAAAAGTAAGACAAATAATTAGTAAGCTTCCAATGTTTACCGATGGACAAATTCAAGCACTTATGAAAGATCCAATACTTCAAGAAAAGAGGCAGGAACATGTTATGTTTCAAAAATATGCTTTAGAATTAATGGGAAGAGTTTCTGGAGAAGCAAAACCTACTGGTGCAGAATATGAAATTTCTTTAGCTAGTTTACATAGAGTAAGTTTTATTTTGAATTTAATTAATTTAATTACCATCGAATATAATAACACCAAATTTTAACTTTATATAGGCAAATGTAGTAGCACAGACAAGAATACAATACAATGAACAACAGTTAAATCAATTAATATATCAACATTTAATGTCAAAAGGTTTAACAGAAACTGCATCAACACTTCATAGGGAAGCAAATTTAGATTCTTCTGCAATTATGAAACCTGTATGTACATATCAACCATTTACGTACCGTAGTCCTGCAACTACTGGAGTAAGTTTTATATTTATAAAAATTGAGCAACTTTTGTTTTTAAATTCGTTAGATAGATATAATAAGAAAGAAAGCATTTGAAATTCAAATATATATTTTTTTTGTTCAGACAAGAAATGGGTTCTCTCCTAGCGCCACAGTGAATTTGTACAGTACGAACAGATGCAATCAAAGAGAAGTTACTTCTCGAAACAATACTACTCCTACTTCATCGTTTAGGTACATATCTCACTCAAACAATAGTTCCAGTTCATCATCATTATCTTCTGGAAATAATATACGGATGAAACATTCTGACTGCCTCAATCAAAATGTTATTCCAAATAATACAAATCAACTAATAAAACTACAGATTAATCAAAAGTAAGTTTGTTATATAATTTTTTATTATTTAAAAATTATAAATAATAAGAAATTAAATAAGATAATTAAATAATTTTAGAAAAAACCAAGCCGATAAACAACCTCTAGTCAATCAAATAAATTGTCACTCAATCAATCAGCCGACAGTGTGTCGATCACTACAGAAACAAATTTCGAGAGATCCTGCAGGTGGTGGAGGACCTGGAGTAGCTACATCGAATCCATCTACTATAACATTAGATTCTATTATAACGGAATATTTAACTAATCAACATGCATTATGTAAAAATCCTATGGTTACTTGCCCACAATTTAATCTATTTGAGTACGTATTTATTAAATTAATTTATCTACATGATTTAAATGGAATTTTTCAATTGATTCTTACGATATTGTCATAAAATGTTTTACTTAATTTAACAGACCACATAAGTGTCCAGATCCCTGTACAAAGAATTCAACACCAACAAATGTAACAGTAAGACTGGCTAGAAGAGCATTAGGCATGGATGGTAGAAGATTGGATAGAAGACTTATTTATAGCCGATTTTGTCCTGTAAAAACTTTCCGGCCTACGGATGTTGCAACCTTCACCTATTGTATCTTTTCAGTAACGTTATCTTTATTTTATTAGTATTAAAAAATTCATAATCATATATTTGTAATAAGTAAAACATATATTCTAATTCAAAATATCGTATTACTTTTACAGCCTTGTCAACAATATTTAATGTTAGGTACTTATGCAGGAGATGTAAAAATGTATAATATACATACAGGATTAGAGGAAGCGACATATTCATGTCATGAATCTTACGTTTATCACATGGAATGTAATCAGCGTGGAAATTTGTTATTAACTTCTACCCCATGGAGAAGTCCCATGTCTGTACTTTGGAGTATAGGAACATTTTTTGATTTAAAATTATCTTTAGAAAATGTAGAATACGTTGAATTTGGAAAACTTCAAGACAGAATTATAGGGACCGATAGCGATATTGCAACAGTATGTATTTTTTCTACATAATTGTCAACATATAAACGGTTCCATCTATATCTAATTATTTTTATCACTTTTTTTTTTAGATTTATGACATAGCTACTGGACAATTATTAACCAGTTTTGCTCCTTCAATCTCCAATCGATATACTATGAACCGTGCTACTTTTAGTATGAATGATGAGTTGGTTCTACATGATGGAATTTTGTGGGATGCAAATTCAGGAAAACAAATTCATAAATTTGACAAATTAAATCAAACACTTAATGGAGTTTTTCATCCTAATGGTATTAACATTGATGGCTTATAATTTAATAATAAGTAAATGGAATGTAATGTAAAATAATATATGTAATAATTTATATTAAGTATACATTAATTAATATTAAATAATATCTTGACAGGTATAGAAGTAGTATCAAACACGGAAGTTTGGGATTTAAGAACTTTTCATTTGCTAAAAACAGTGCCAACACTTGATCAAATGGAAGTAATTTTTTCTCCTGTTAATAATATTATATATGCTGTGTCATTGGAAAAAGAAAATATAGATGAAACCAATTATATTACTTCATTTAAGACATTAGATGCTTTGGATTACAGTAATATTGGTAAGATACACTAATATTAATTAATTATATGGATCTATTAGATAACTTTTAATTTTTATTGCATATTTCGAATTAATCCAATTTATAATAATTAAATGAAAATTATATAATTTATTGTATATTGTATACAAAATATTGTAGAATTATACAATTTATAATGAGAATAATTATAATTAAATGATTATAGCCACTTACGATGTTAGAAGAGGGGTTTACGGATTGGCTTGCAATAAATTTGACACACAGATAGCAGTAGTGGAAATACTTAATGAATTTGATGATAATCATGAATCCAGTGTAAGGTTGTACGATGTCGGCAGGAGAAAAGGCGATAAAGATGAAACAGATGAAGATGATGATGAAGAAGATCTTGATGCAAGTGATGATGATGGTTCGAATTCTAGTTCTGATGATAATAATGCTGACGGTATATAACGCTCTTAATAATTTAATTATTAATCTTTTTTCCTTTAGATTTCTTTCCTTTCCTTTCCTATTATTAACGTGTTAGATATATACCTTCAACAATCTTTAAATTTATTTTTATTTCATTTTTAAATAGATGCAGATAACCCAGATGCAGCAGCAGAAGGAAATGGTGATGAAAATGAACGAAATAATCGTGAAAATAACGATGATGATGATGACGATGATGAGGATGATTCAGCTGATGGAGATGATTCTGGAGACAATATGACACACTATAGCAGATCTCCTGATTCCTCTGATATTTTTCTTTCTGATATTGATCTTGAAAGTCTGTCTTCATCATCATGAAATATTATCTTCAACAGTTCCAATGCATTATATGTAGAATTTTATTTCATTTTTGGCCAATCGGAAGGGACTGAAAGAAGTTTCACTATAACATAATATTTTTAATAATGTTTACTATTATTGGCGAAATGGAAATATGCATTTAAATAAAAAATTTATTATAGTAATTTTATTTATTTCATATATCTTTTATGTGTGGACAATACGACATGCAGAAGTACAATTTATTATAATTAATTAAACAACAAATTCTGTTTGTGCATTCAATTAGAATTAAAAATTAAAAATTTACTAAATAAGATTTATATGAGAAAATATTAAAACATGATCCTTTCGCCAATATTAAAATGACACTATATTATGATTAAAGATTGGCTAATGAAATAATTCTGAAGTACTCGATTTACTCAACAATCATTAAAGGGTTAAAAAAATGATAAATTACCAGTGTAATTTTAAATTTCCAAGATTCTTATCTATAGATTTATAATGTATATATTATTATTTAAGATGTTCGTTATTCAGTGAATTTGTATAACATATTCTCTGCTAAACATTGAATTACTCGTAAGAAATTTGCTTGCTGTTCAGAATAATCGTAAACATTTTTATTGATATGTAAATCAGATTTTAAATCACTGGAAACAAATGTTTTATTATTTTAGAATGTTTGATTCATGGAAACAGCAAACTTTTCGAATTCTTTAATGGTATAACTATGTATATGAAAAAAGAATGTGAGAGAGAGAGTGTACGAGAGAATAAATGAAAGATTGTAAAAAGTTGATTTAATCCTGTCATTTGTTATTATTAATAAAGAATCGTGAATTTGTATAGGCTAGCTCTAATAAATAAAACCATGCTTTATGATGAATTTTTAGCAAACCTATCAATGTTTTTATTTTTTTAGTATTAATAGAAGACTAACACTGAATAATTAATATTTCCGTTTCTATTATATTTCTGATAATACTGGATAATTAATGCTTGTATAGGTATTTATTTTAATTTTTGTGTAGTCCTATTTACAAAAGAAATTTAAATTAAACCTATGTTTCTTTTCTACTTAAAAATAATTTATTATATTTCTCAGTTTACTTTATAACTATATTTGTTATTAGATCCATGGATCTTCTGTAGTTTTATGAAATGTTTATTTGTAATAATATATACTGTCACATAGTAAATTGGTATTAAATAACAATGCAGTAAAACCATAAATGTAAAAAATGATACAGCGATAAGAGACTTATTAATTTTGTATCTATATTAAATAATTTTTTTACTCCCGGATACAACATACTGCCTTTTATAAGATGCAAGATTGGAACTTGTAAATACTAATTTTATATCTTTCATTTCAGTTCCTTTACAACATATTACAGTGACATTGTATAATATTTTTATATTAAGATTCTATAAACTGATGTCACGACATTGTTAATTGTAAGGAAAACTACAACACAATATTTTAAATATTAAAGATTATAGTTTTTCTATTTCTAAAAATGAGGAACTGTACTCTTTTCACAAATATTATTATTAAAAATTAAAATAATAATAACATTTCTATAGTAATATGAAGAAATTTTTAAATAAAATATAAAAATTTTTATTTTTAACTAGAAAAATTTTACTTTCTTTTAATGTTATTTTAGACCTGATTGATTTTAAAAATGTTTCTCTCAAGAATTTTTGTTAAGTTATTCTTATTACTTATTTTTACTTGTATGTTATATTAATTTCTTCTAAATTCTTTCTAAAAGTAGAAAATTCTGTTTTTAGTACTACCGAGTTATCAATAGATGGCGCCACCGTTTCCTGTAAACATTGACAAGTGACAGTTTTTCCACAAATTACGAGAAGAAATTAATTCAAAGGAATCATTTGTGAACTATTATCGTATTATATTTTAGACACCCTAAACTGCCGTTTTATGTTTTGTTTAAGTATAGTTTACGTATATAAAGAATGTTTCAATTTCGTTTACGTTAGCAGTAGTGCCAGTAGTTTGCTCATAATTTCTCGGAAACTATAGTGAACATTGGATTCAGATTTATTTGCGAACGTAACTGATAGCATTATCAGTTTGAAATATGTGTTCGTAACTTGTAGCGTGAAAAATAAAAATTAATTATATGATTATAGAGCGTTTAGTTCCACCGGTCTACCACAAAAAGCGGCGCTAGTGTTTCTTACCTCGTAAAACAGAGAAATTTTCATTTGCAAAAAAACCTAATTTAGCGACATGAATTGTGGACTTTTGTGATTGTATTACCCTAATTAGGCCCTCAGTTTTCTTTTCATACCACATTTGACCCGTAAAATGCAGAAATAAGTATTTTTATAAATAATAGTACCACTGAGCTACCGCTAGATGGTACCACCATGTCCATATTGTGACAGTTCACACTAATTACGAAAAAAACCTAATTAAGAGGAATAGTTTGCAAACTTTTTTATATGCCTTCTTAAAATTAGGCTCCCCGCTTTCATTCCATGTGTATTTTGTCCTGGAAAAAGTCTGTGTAAAAAGTTGAATTTTTTTTTCAATAGATCGAAGGTTGTCCTTCTCGCACATTGTTGCTTTCCTTGTCTAATGTCATTAGACAAGGAGAGCACTAGCGTGCGACAAGGATAGATATATTTCCACGATAGACAACGAGAGCACTAGCGTGCGACAAGGACAGACATATACAGGGTGTTACCTGTAATGTGACGCCCGATTTTTCATCCACTTGCAGCCATCTAACAAAAAAAAAGTTTAGAACAAAAGTTGAACCGTACAAGGTGTACAGATATATAGATAAATTTAGTTATTCAGTGGAATTTCCCTAGAGAAACGTTAATTACAATTTCCCTATATATTCTATCATAACCTGAAAGAAAAAATTGAAAATTCCCGATTCTTGCAACGTTGGCATTTGCTCATCGCGATTCAAGTTCAAAGTAAATTGTAATATAGTATGTATTTTTATAAATTATAATAAAAAAATAACTTTCATTATGAAATGAGATAAAATTAAAATTAATGAAGAAAAGTTGAATTTAGTGATTTAATTTTCACTATCATTGTTTACGTATACTTTTTCTTAATTTGTAGGTATTTAATCTGTGGATATTGGATGCACTGATTTTTCGTTGGATACTGTTCTCAATCCATGTTAGAGTTAGGTGGAATGGGAGACGTGTCCACAGTATATAAAAGAGCGATGCTACCACGGATCGGCTTCTGAACTGGGGCTGATTTATTCGTTGGATTGTTCTTATTGTTTTTCCTCATTAGACAATACGAATTATCCTCGCAATGGCCCTCAGTCAGACAAGTGTGGTGAGTAGTAAATATGAATAAAAGCAACGACTGATTAAAAAAAAGAAAACAGTTAATTGTAATCACCACAATGACGACAATGACGGTTTTTATCACTTGATTTATGTTAACACCCTTGTTATTGTTATCCTCGTCTTTGATCCTTTTTGCTCCAACCAAAAATTATTCTTTTCTTCGACAATTATTCTGTTTCCAATCAAATTGCCTTGTAATTTTTTAATAATTACAAATTTCTAGCTTGTATAACATCAAAGTTTCAAAACGTTATCAATGAGAATTTAGATTTATTGCATTATTGCATAGATTATTTGCATTTGCTCTTTCAGATGAATTTCTCTAAAAAAATTTTTAGATTGTAGGTTAAGATCGATGATAATATTTTAATATTGGTTTCAGTGTCCTTTTATATTTTTTTATGCCATTGAATCACATTAGACAATGATTGTTGTACACTTTATATGTACAGTATATTTTCTAAATTTCCTTGAATAAAACACAGAAGTGTAGGTAATAGTAACAAGTAATTCATTAATAAATGAAGCTATGGAATTTCATGAATGATTTAGAAATATTTTATTTTATTATTAATATTAATCTTTAATTTTATATATATATATATATATATATATATAAAATCATATTGATACATTTTAGATTGACATATTTCATTGAAACTAGACTTTAATACAAGATTGATATATAAAGTAAAAAAAGTAAACAAGAGAAATGTTATTACACAAATAAAGTAATATGAACTTTAAGAATATTAATTGATAACAACATTATATTAATTACAGCTGAAACTATACAATACTGTGATAGAGGATGTTATATCAGGTGTAAGGGAATCATTTATAGATGAAGGTGTAGATGAACAAGTATTACAAGAGCTCAAACAAATATGGGAAACCAAATTAATGTCTAGTAAAGCTGTTGAACTTAATCCAGATCCTCCAGAGCCTCAAGTTCCCCAAATAAATACGCACAAAGCTGTGCCTGTTAACAAAGGTAAAATCTATACTTTCTTTTATAAAACTTCTGCAAAAATAATTTAAGAAATTTTTGTAAAAGAGAAAAACCTATCAAGTAATACATAATTATAATAAATTGGCTTATCATTAGTAATTTAGAAAATTCACAAATAAATTTTTGATTTCTGTTAAAAATTGAAAATATGCTTTCGCAGCAAGTTTAATGTCTGTACTTTTAGGAGTAAATATAGGAAATCATTTTGTACAACAAACAGGAGGAAATTCTGTTTCTCAACAAGCATCACAACAACAGCAACAACAATCACAACAGCAGCAATCCCCTCAGCAGTCGCAAACTCAGACACAATGTCACTCAACAACAACTGGTATACAACACACTGGTACACCAGTACAGCAATTAGTAACATCAACATCAGCAGTAATGGATCGGCAAGTACCTATTCAAATAACATTGCCACCACAGACAGGTGTTCCTGATGCTCCATTAAGAGTTTTAACCATTCAGGTTCCTGCATCTGCAATTCAAGGTAAGTTAAAATTATTTTCATATGATAATTGACATATATTAACATAGGAAAATAAAGATCACATAGTTACAACTAATTAATTTATTTTTAGGTAACCAATTACATACAATTTTAACAGGACCAGTTATTACAGCTGCAATGGGATTACCAGCAAATTTAGCTTCCACATTACTCCAGCAACATGTTAACTCCACACTTCAGGGTCAAGCAACATTGGCTCCACTTCAAGTTGTTACACAAAGTGCAAATAATGTTTCTCAACGATCTGTCCAAAATCAAGTAAATCGAAATATATAATAATAAATCAAGTTTCATTATTTTAGCAATATATTAACTTCGCATTTCTTAGGGACAAACAACATTGGCTCCACTCCAAGTTAATCAGTCTCTTCAAGTTGTTACACAAAGTGCAAACAATGTCTCCCAACGGCCTGTTCAAAATCAGGTAATAAAAGTATAATTCTAAAGTATATCTTTATTTCGTTAGTAAAAAGATTATTATGTTACGTAAAAATTTTGTTAGTTAATTCTCTAATGAATATACAAGTAAGATATGCAATAATTATTCATTTAACAAAAAAAATGTAAGTAGAAAAGTTAGTTATTTCTTTTATTTTTTTTATAAATAGAATAATATAGCACAAATAGATGGTCCACTTGGAGATTCGTCAGATGATGATGAAGAAGAGGAAGAAGAGGATAATGAAGATGAAGAAGAAGATCTTGATGACAAAGAAGAAGAAGAAAATGATGAAGCTGCGACAAGAGAAGAGGTATTTGAAATATTATTTATATATTTACCTATAAATATAAATCTTTATTATAAAATTTAATAATATGACTATTATTTCGTAGGAACCATTGAATTCAGAAGATGATGTAACTGATGATGATCCAGCAGATCTTTTTGATACTGATAATGTTGTCGTATGTCAATATGACAAGGTATTTAATAATTTTGTTGTAATACATTGTTTTGGTAAATAAAAAAAAGTTCTAAGAGATTTATTGATTAAAATTCAAAAATTGACATTGAATAATTGAGAAACCAATTTTCAGATAACAAGGAGTAGAAATAAATGGAAATTCTACCTCAAAGACGGAATAATGAACCTTAGCGGTAAAGATTATGTTTTTCAGAAAATGAACGGTGATGCGGAATGGTAGTTAATAAGTTTACAATGTAAAGTTATAAAAATCGAATTGGTAATGTGTTCACGTGAAATTAGTATAAAAATTTATCTTTAAATTTATGCTTAAAACATTTTTTTAATCAAAATAGCATTTGATGCTCAATATTTTAAAATTGTATCTGAAGCACTATTAGGCATGATTTTTATTTTTTTCAAATGAAACCTTAATTATTCAATTCAATACAAAATTTTATATTTATTGAATTTAAATTTGAGAAAAAAAAATACTAATAATGAATTCCTCTATTTTTTAATTAAAGTGAGAGAATTTCAAAATTTTAAATTAATATATAATGTATTTTAAAATTCAAATTCAAATTTAATTTCAAGTAAATATCGAATAATCAAGGCTTTATTGTATAATAAAAGACTCAATAATCAAGTAAATCTGTATTGTATTTTACGAGTTGTTATAACGAGTCTGCAAGTTTTTTCACGTGCGTCTACTATGTAAATAAATTCTAAGGGATTGCAATCTACTATAAATATGTGATGCTCTTAAAAATAAATGTGTCTTATACTGTTAAAAAACTTAATATATAATATTTTCATAACATTATACATTATTAGAAATGTATAATTGTTTTTCCTTTTTTTTTATCCCTTTGTAAAATTATATACTATTATACAGTAATTTTGAGATCATTAAAAAAGTAAAATAATATACATAATATTAAAATTTATTTATTTAAAAACATGTTATGTTTCTCTGAGTTATCTTCCAGTTCACTAACAATTCGTGGAACCTCTTGTAGTAATTCTTCTGCACTTATTTCAAAATTTTTGTCCAACCAAATATTTTTTAATTCTTTAATAACAATACCCATCACCTTTCCCCTTTCTACATATGGTTTTAACATGTTTCCACTAACTGGAAATCTGAAAATACATTAAAAAATACAAGAAAATATTTTATAATATATTTGAGCAATAATAACAATATTAATAATCTTGAATTATTTGATGGTATTGAATGTTGTGTATATAATTTGATATGTAATCTATTATTGTTATAATATATTAATACATTTTATGCATTATATATTAATATATAAAAAATGAAATATATATATCATTACTTTTGTTTTATATAATCAATAAAAAAATGCAAAATATTTATATCTTAACGTACTTTTTATTATAACTTTAAAGCTTTTTACCTTGGTATTATTAGGTTTTTTATATTTTCAGCAAGATCAAAATATTGTTTACATTTTAATAATTCACAAATATATTCTTTTGCATTAACAACGTTTCCTTTCCAATGAATAAGAATTCCCTTATAAAATTTTAAAAGATCTATTGAAGGTTTATCTTCCCAGAATGAAATTAAAAATAATGCTAAATCTCTATCATATGCAGATAATTTTAATCTACGATGAAGCTCAAACACTTCACTTTCATTTTTTAACAGTACAGCAAGAAAAGTAATCGGCTGTAAAGAAATGTTATTTTTTTTAGATATATTGCAAATAACCTCGAACTTTTCTATATTTGGGTTTTCTGGAAGTCCTACAAATCTGAAATTAAAAATTATTAAATACATTACATTAAGTTTATTTCTACTTTACTTTTTAATTTATTATTACCTTGCAATACCACATTCTAACATTTTAAATGTTATTTCTTTAACATAATTTCCAGAAAGGATTTTTGACCATTCACTCCAAATTCTTTCTCCAGATATTATTTCCAGTCCATGTATATTTTCTTTTATTGCTGTTATAATATATTCATCATGAGCATCTGGTTGGTCTGAAATTTTTCCATAAAATCGAAAATATCTGCAAATTTTAATTTTACGCAATTGAATATTAAAATTTAGTTTCATTACTAATTTATTCAATTTGCAAACCTGTATATTATTAGATATATGAAAATAAGATATCAATCAAGAAATACCTCAAGATTCGTAGATAATCTTCCTTAATTCTATGTACTGGATTTCCTACAAACTTAACTCTTCGTTTCATTAAATCATCATAACCAAAGAAATAATCATATATTCTTCCTTCTAAATCAAGAAACATAGAATTTATTGTAAGATCTCTGCGAAGAGCGTCTAGTTCCCAATCTTTCGTAAATTCAACTTCTGCATGCCTGCCATTGGTATGTGTGTCAATTCTAAGTGTTGTGATCTCAAAATTTAATTTATCATTTATTCTTGAGGTAATCGTACCTGAAATAATTCCCACAAAATGATTTTAAATATATTAGAATGTCAATAACAAAAAAGGTTAATATATATTTTGTTATACCATGCTTTTCTCCATTATTATTGATCATTCTAATATTTTCTTCTTCAAACATGTTTTTCATTTCCTGTGGGGTAGCATCTGTTGCAAAATCCAAATCTATTGGTTTTATATCCATTAAAATATCTCTGACTGCACCACCAGCAATTTTTAGTTCGTGATTATACTTTTTAAATATTTGTGCTAAAGTGTTAAGTTCTGGTGTAAATATGGAGTGAAACAATGGATTATCCAGCTTTTTAATTACAGGATCAGGCCTGCTTAGTGGTATTTCATCCCTCATTGTAGCAACCCAAGTTTTATACGCCTTACCAAAATTACAAATGAAATACTTGTTGGAATGAATATATTTATTAAAATTGGGAATGTGTTAGGTTTTGTTTCTGTCTCCCTTCCCAATCATGTAATTGGGAAGGTAAGTCATTTTAGGCCAAGAGGCATCATTGGGCAAGATCAAATCCATAAAGTAATAATATTCCCAATTACTTTATGGGCCTACCGGTATTGGCAGGGGCCTAATAATGCCTCCCTTAGATTACGTTTATACGTTTATTGGCCCTAGTTGTAGGACCAAAGCTAGAGGAACGCATCCCCTACATTAATATATATATATATTTTATATAAAATTTTTCTTTAAAGTAAAATAAATGAAATTAAATAAACTAAAACTTTGTTTTTAAAAGCATTCATATTAAACTTCGATGTTTTTATAAACTTAACCTTAACGTTTTTTTAGTAAAAGCGTATACTTACTACTTACTCGTGAAAGATTATATGTACAAGATATATAATTTTTGCGAAAAAAAACCATAAACATTTCTCAAAATTTTTTATATAAAATCTTATTGTAATAAGGCAATTCTTTTAATTGATGTCACTTCGCCTCTTTCAAGACCATCCGTAAATGTCATCAGTGCTGCACTGATCTCCAATTTTCTTTGAAAATATTTTTATCCAAAATCATTTAAAGTTATTTATCAGAAAAATATTTTTTTGAATATTTTGAGTATTTTTTTTTTCTTTGTAACATAAATTTGTAACGTAAATTATTTGTATCAATGTAAAAAATTTGTAGCACACACCATGTACCCATGCAAACTCACATACACACATAGCATATATATATATATTTTATTTTATCATTACTTTTTAAAAATTTTAAAATATTTTAGTAAAAATGATTTTTCATATACATTCATAAATCAACAAATAAAAATACTGGTATTTTCGTATATACACTTTTTATTTATATTTCTAAAAATATATAAATCTTTCATACAAATCTTTTATTAATTAGTATTGTAAATAAAAAATATTATAATAAAATTAAGAGATTCTTTGAAATAAGTAGGAAAGATATTTTTAATAATTAACATTATCTAAATTTAATTTAGAAGTTAAAATTTTACTTTACTAGCAAAGTAAAAATATCATAGAAAATTTAAAATAATTAAATTATTTTATTTCAATAACATTTTTGAACATTATTTAATATAATTTTCACAATCTTTCTATTATGATTAAACAATTAATTATTTTATTCAATACTTCACGTCATTTGTTTAAATACATTATTTATATAGAATCTGCCTAAATCGATATGGTAGAATGTGACATGAAAATGGGTGACTTCCAAAGCATGGAACACGAAAAATTATTGATTGTCCAGTCTATCCTATTCTTAGTCAACGATAATAGCACAGACGAGGTATACTCATATATATTCATGTACCTCGTCAGTGACAATAGAAAGAAAATGCTGTATCGATAACGCAGGAACTGATGCTAAATCCAAAATTGAAACCACAGACGAGGTATATTCATATACCTCGTCTGTGTTGAAATCTACATTTTTGATTTCAGCTCATCGAAATCTATCATACTGTCAAAAATAAAAAAAGAAAACACAAGAGTTTAAATATAACCTTTGGTCCCCTAGAGATCCAACCAATTTAACCCGGGATTACCCATCTGGCGGTCTAGCGCAAGTACATCCCGGCGACTAGAACCCCACGTGGGTAATCCTGGGTTAAATTTCAATTACTCAATTTTTTTTCGATAATATTAAATTCTTTATTTCTCCCTTCATTGTATATACATCATTATTTAGTACAAAAAATTCCACACGCATACGCAAGCATTCGTCTTACTTTGTCACAAACTGTATCCATGATCATTCAAATTTTGGGTATTATCAATTATTAAGCAAGTTCAATTTTTTATATTGTATCTAATTCCTGATTGTAAACGATAAAAAGTATAAAAATTTTATGACTGAGGGATACTTTGTTCGATTCTTTCACATTTACTACATATTTTTGAAAACACTAATGTTTTTTTCTTCTTAACATCTTAGTATCCATTTATTATTATGTACAATAATATCATGAATTTATGATAATTATCCTCTGTGAGTATTTTTTGGAGCTTTGGCGTAATTATTATACGAGTTTCTAAGATATTTGAGATAACAATAGATTATCGGTATTCTATAATTTGGGACAATTCAAATTTGACTTCAACGTGAACACAATTCAATTTTGCTACTGTGGAACTTTTGTTAGGTGTAGATAAGGATTTTTATGTACACATTAGCGATGTTGGATGTGACAAACTAAGTACACTTCCTGCTTATTTTAATCTTGTAATACATTTGAACTTGATATTCATATTTGTATGAAACTAAGTCTATAATATAGAATATGGTACATATAATGTTACTAATATAAATATATTATACGATAAGGATATAACATTCATCTAAACTATCTTTTTTTTTAGGCAGTAGATTAAATAATCTAAATATAATATTATTAAATAGTTAATTTAAACAAATGTTTATATGTAAAACAATTAGAACTCATTGGATAGTAACAACAAGAATTGGATAATAACAAAATTTATAAACCAATAGATGTTTTAAAAAATAAAGATAATAAATCAATTTAATTGAAAGACATTTTGTTTTTATTAAAAGTTAACTGACTTAGATAATTAATTTTTTTATTTTTTTTTGTTAATTAAGTTAAGTTAAATGTTTGAAATAATTAGATGAGTGGCAGTAAACAGTGCTCCAAATAATAATCACAGATAGATAAATTTTGGGTTTGGAAATTTCACTATGTTGATTTCCTTGATTGATTTCTGTTTTTATAGAATAATATTTTAATGTAAATTTTGGCAAACGAATTATCTTTCAATTTGTGTTATTTTGCTTAAATCTTAAAGAATTTAAAAAATACAAGTGTAATAAGTTCTGGATGATGTTCTTTATACATTGTATTAAGCATAAAAAACGCAATTTTCTTTAAATACATGTTTATTTTTTCATTATTAAAACGTCGAAAAGAATCGAACATTATCCGATCGCTTTCAGAGAAATATGCTTGAACATGATTGGCTAAATATCGGCTAATCGGATTTTTATGTACGTTGAGCAGTATTTTTTAAAATCCTTATTTCACAATTTCAGGAGAGAGGATCTATTTTTTATGGTTAATTTCCATTCATTCTTTCTCTCATATCCACACACGTTTTATGGCTATACAACATTAGAGTTGGACAATTTTTATTCGAATAATAATCAATGAGTAAAATATAATATTTTAAATAAGGTGTTTTGCAAATATTTATTTACTTATTTTTGACTAATCTCTATTATGTTTTTGCAAATGAATGCAGCCTTTATTTGTATAACATTTTTTCAAAACTATTTTAATCGGTACAGAAATTTAATAATTTTGTGTTATAATAATTTTAAATGACGTGTCATAAAACATTGCTATTAATGGTACAAATTCTTTTATTTTCATTTTATTTTTAATTGATATACTTTATAAATAAATTTTTTCAACGATCAGTTACTGAATAATGACACTAATCTTCATGTCTAGTCAATTCTTCGATTCATATTTTATCAATGTCAAATTAATTTTATTTTAATCTTATGCTAGTTTTAACACAAATATTTAAAATATTTTCAACAGAAACAAAATTAGACTGCGTATTTATTCGAATAAATTTCATTCAGTACTTTTTACTTATCTTCAGTGGCCTGAGGAAAAAATGAAAAATTTGAATTGAAGTCAAGCGATTATCTAAACATTAATAATACATGAATTAGTAGTAATAATAATGTGTAACATTATTATTAATAATAATAGACATAATGGTAATAATAATAATGATAGTAGTGATAATAATTTATTCGAATAATGTCCAACTCTGTATTAAGAATCAAATTACAATATGTACGTTTGAATCGTGGCATTTAAGCATTTTTACACGTATATTAAGAAATATGAAAATGACAGTCTCTGCGGAAAAGCCAAAAATTTGTGATATACGGTGAGAAGTATAACTGAATTAATAACAATGAAAAATTATCGACAAATTAAATTGTTATAACTTTATAAAAAAATGATTATGATTTGTAATACAATAATTTTGAAGATTGAAATCTTATATTTACAACAATCTCTTTGAATTTTAAGCTTTTTCAATTTTCAGGAAAATTATTACTTGTTACACGATGTAAAATTTTTGAAAAAAAGAAAAAAAAAAATTTAGAACTGTTAAAGTAGAAGTTTTGAGACTTAAAATGAATGAATCAAATGAATTGTTGTATGATTTTCTTTTACAAAGTTAAGTTTAAACTGTCGACAATTTTCCATCGTTATTGATTTAGTTATGCTCTTCGTTAGACATATTTTATATATTAATCAATACAAGTATCACAAATAATTTTTATTAAATCATAATAATGACTAATATTCAATTATTTGGATAAATAATTATCAAAGTGTTGTTTGCAGTATTAATAAATATTTATTTATGTAAATAACTATTTACATAAATAACTATTTACATAAATATTGGTGTCATAAAAAATAATGTTACTATTAATGTTTCTCATAATAGCATAAATATTCATATAAAATTTTTTATATTTCCTTTTTCATAAAATTTTAACTGTACATGTCTTGATACTCATTCATTTCAACAATACTGCAAATTGTAGTAGAAACTTGAGTAATAACGTTTCTTAATATGAAATTTTTTTTTAAAAAATAGATAAAAATAACAGATTTGTAAAATTTATGATATGAAGTAAGAAATAGAAAGTAAATATTTGATGATTTAGATTGTCAATTGCAATTACATTCATTTGAAGTGTACATAATAACTCAGAAAAAATGAACACAAAAATCTACATTGTTTGCAATTTATATGGAAAATGAATTAGTTCTGTAATTAAATATTCAAATAAATATAAATTATAGTAATTTTAGATGTAAAATGCTGAAGTTTTTAAAATTAGACCAAAATTTAATTTAACATTGTATGAATCATGGATCTTCCGTAGAGACAATTGGACTCCCTGATGAAACGAAGGGTATTGTTTATATAAATAATAGATGGTATTCTTAAAAGTTAATCGATCAATCAATCAATTTAGCAAGTAATCAATTGACCAATCAACCAATCGATTAATAAATGAATTAATTACGTATTTACAGAGAATACAACGTACATCGCATCATCGAAGAGGAGATTAGCTGTCAAAGCTCACTCACCGCTCATCGAGCACGACGATCATCTGAACTATAAAATTGAAAGGAATTGAACAGACACCTAGCTGACTCGTGATCAACTCCACAAAATTTTTCTACAACAGATAAATATTAATTTGTTTAAGTTACAGCGATTACAGTTTTTTAATTACTTTCGTTTCACTTGAATACAAACTAATATAAAAATATTTTATTTTTATTCTAATTAAAAAATGGAAAAAATGTAACAAAAATTTGAATAAAATACAATTTTATTAATAAAAAAGAATTATAATATATGATAAACTTATTAAATATAAAAGAATATAAAGATTTATTGAAAAATATGGAAGTAATAAAATATTCTTCAAGCTTGAAAATACAGTTTTAATTCATGTTTACTTACGCTGGTTTAGAGGCCTTCACAGAGGAACTCTCAGTAGTTTTCTTTTTGCTACTTCTGCATTTCCTGACATAAGCTTCTATTAAGTGGGCAATCTTTTTTGGGTTGATTTCTCCTGTTTTATTATGACATATCTACCAAACGAACAAAATGAAATTTTGCAGCAAATACTATAAAATTGCTTAAGATAATGAAACTCATACTTAATATAAAAATAGATTTTACTATTATATAGTTATAGTCAATTATATAGTTATATACATATATAGTTTTTATTATATATATTATATTTATTATATATACCTTAGGTACTGCTTTTCGCATAATATCCTTGTACTCCTCTTTCGTTACGTGTTTCTTTGTATAATGTGGTTTCAGAACTAATTTCACTTCTTCGACCACTCGTTCTTGACGATTTAATTTCTTTAGGAACTACAAAATAATAAATGATTAGAAATATATGTTGTAAAACAATTTTTTAGTTTTTATTTAGTTTATTATTTAATTTATAATAATTAATCATAAAAATATTTTAATATGATTTATTCAATCATATTAAATTATTATTTTTCAATTATTATATGTTAACATTTTCTTGTAATTTTAACAAATATTTACGTTTATCTTTATTTAAATATTAACAAATGAAAAAGTAAAGTGAATTTGCATGAAATTCAAACCTTATCCTTGACTTGCATTTCAACCGCAGAACTTGGAAGATCATCTAATATTTGAAGCTGGTTTTCATCCATTCTAACACCGACTTTTGGATTCGTCGTCTTCTTTTTCTTATCTTTCGGAGGTTTTTTGCTTCTACTCGATTTAGTGGTAGTTTTACTGACTGGCAAAGTACCAAAAAGTGCATCGAAAGCATCTTTTTTCTCGGTGGATTTTACCGTTTTTGAATTATTGGTTTTCGTAGGTTGAGATCCAACAGGTGCTGTTCCACTTCCTGTACCAGCTCCTGGCGAATTGTTATAATTCGTAGGACTCGGAGGATCGAAAATTCCATCGCTAAGCGTCGATCCAGGCGAATAAGGAGAAGACATATCCACGTTGTCCACTGCTTCTGTGCAAGTATCATTCCCATTTTGTCCATTGGTTTTCGTCTGTCCGGACTTCGAACTTCTCGAGGATTTTCCTGAATTCGTAAAAACCGGAGGTGCCTGCGAACGATCGCCAGAACGTTGTTTTTGCTGATTATTCGGTGAAATTCGGTTCGACTGTAACAAGTTACGTTGATTACTATTCGAATTTGACGCATTGAATACTCCGCTTCTCTGTACTGCTGCAGCTACTGTAGCTAGTACAGGATTCATCACCGCGAAAGGATTATTTTGATTTTGCACGTTTTGCTGACTCTGCTGTACCTCTAAATTTCCAGTTGAGACTGCCGTATCCTTATTGTTCTCATTATCGTTAACGTCATCCCTTTGCGGAGAAGCTCTCTTGATCGTAACCATAGAGATAATCTTGGGTTTCTCTAATTGCTTTTCTTGACTCTGCCTTTCTTGGCTCTGCAAATTTTCCTCTTCGAGAATATTGGCATCCGCAGAATCGTGTTTCCTCGGCGACCTTCCCCTTTCATCGCTGGAATTTGCCTCTTGACTTACGTCAGGTGTCGGCGATCTGGATTTTGTTGGATCAAATGGATCATACGCATCTGGACTAGTTGGTGGAGATGTTGGAGGTTCTGGAGGAGTATTTGGTCCAATTTTTAATCTTAATTCTAATTCCTCTTGTGCTCTCATCTCTAATTCCTCTTCGACCCTTTCATCCATTTCTTCCTCCTCTTCCTCGTCTAAGAGTGGATTTAACATTGACGGCCGTAAGTTACTGCTCTGCTTGTTTATTGAGAATTTTATTTGCGGCTCTGGTGGTGTTTTTGGGCCCTGAGAAATAAATTGTTCTCGTGGCGGAGAATTTTGAGATGGTTGACACTGATCCGGCATAATTTGTTGAATTTGCTTATCGTCATCGTCACTAAGAACTATCACGTCTCTGGGAGATGGAGTTTGTTCCCGGAATGGGGACTGGTCTAAATCAATTACAGCGACTGGTTTCTTCGTGGCTGCAATTTCAGCCGCTTTCGATTTTTTCTTTTTATCCTTCTTAGGCTTTGGAGATTTCGAGCGCTTGTCCTTCGACTTTTCCTTTTTTGATCGTTTCGGCGGATCAGTTTGAAGAGATTCCCTACGGCGTCGTTTCAGAGGAGGAATTAAAGGAATCGTTTCTGAAAGTTCTGGTACTCCTGTCTGATCGTTTTCATTATCCTTATTGAAACACACGCTAACTAAGATATTATCCCCACTGGCAAAAACCTCTTTTGATGGTGGAGGAGTCCTGTTTCTCTTTCCCTTTCTCTTCTTTTCATCTTTTGTTTTCTTGTTTTCCTTTTTCCGTTCTTTCTTCTTTTTCTTAATAGCTTCCTTGTTTGTTAAAATTACAGTTAGATTTTTTGGTGGAACAGAAACGTTATCCAACATTGGCGACCATTCTCTAGAAGTAATTGGCTCTTGTTGTACGTGTTGTGGTGTTTTTGATCTAGATCTCGACCAAGATGGTGTCCACTGTGCACTCCAAGACTCTCTTTCTTCCCTTTCCCTAGAGAACTCTTGTTCTACGATTTTATCAACTTGTTCCCAATTTCTAGAACAAGATCTTCCTTTTGACCTTGATCTACTTTGCGCTTTTCTCTTTGAATGCTTTCTCTCTCTGGATTTCGAAGATTTTCTAGGCGATTTTGAACGGGACTTCTTCCTGTTTCTCGACCGACTTCGAGATTTGTACTTTTTCTTGTCCTTACGTCTATCGCGAGATCTGGATAAAGATCTTCTGGATCTTGATATAGATCTTCTTTGCCTCGATCTTGACAAAGATCTTCTTGATCTGGAGATCGATCTTCTGGATCTTCTTCTTGATAAGGATCTTCGTTTTCGAGAAACAGATCTCGATCTTCTTCTAGATATGGATCGTTTTCTTGAGGAAGATCTTCTTCTAGAGGTCGATCTTCTTTTCGGAGATTTACGTCTTCCACGTGAAAGAGATCGTCGTCTGGAAAGAGATTTAGAATAAGATCTACGATCTCTAGACCACGATCTTTGTAATCTAGTTCTAGATCTGCTTCTTGAACGGAGCTTGGAATACGATCTAGAACGTTTGGATGAACTACAGCTTCTAGACCTACTTCTCTGTCTCGATTTTTCTCTGATATCTCTTCCGTATTCATCCTTTCTAGGTCTTGAAGGTCTTTCAGCAACTATTTTCCTAACATCGTATCTGGGTAATTCTTTCCTTTTTTCTTTCTTCTTTACCACTTCTTTCTTTTTCTTTAATTTTTCTCTTTCCTTCGATTTTGATCTCTTTTCTTTATCTCTGTAAGACCTCTCTTTCGTACTTTTTGAAAGTTTCTTCCAGGCTACTTGATTTTCTGAAGCAATATTTTCTTTATTTTTTTCTGTTTCCTTGCTTTTCTCTTTCTTTTCCTTTTTCTTTTGCTTCTTTTCGTCTTCTTTTTCCTTTTCAGTTTTATCATTTTCTTTCGCAGTTTTTTCTTCAACAATTTCTCCATCTTCCATTTCTTTCTCCTTTCGTAAACTCAACAACGTTAATTCATCTTCAAAATTGATTGCTTCATCTGTTTCAGATATAGCTTCTGTACCCAAGACATTATAATCTACTGGTGTCCTACAGCTATCTAAATCGTCAGGTTTATCTTTTGTTGGTGTAATTGGTTCCAATCCACTTTCAATGGGTGGTAACTGTTCGGAAGAAGATTTCGTTTCCTTTAAGGGAAGTTCGTCTTTACAAGGAGTATAAGCTCCATCAGATTCCCATGTGTTCTTATCAGCATCTTCTTCAATTGTATCTTTTTTGTTCGATTTTTCTTTTTCTATGGGGAATCTTTCCTCCTCCTCCTCCTCCTCTTCTTCTTCATCATCATCATCATCTTCTTCCTCCTCCTCCTCTTCTTCCTCTTCCTCCTCTTCTTCATCATCATCATCATCATCTTCATCATCGTCATCATCATCATCATTATCATCATCATCATCATCTTCATCCTTACTAATATGTCGCTTTTCTTTAACGTCTTTTTCACTCTCATAGTCTTTAACTTTTATTACATCATGTTCCTCTTTAATTTTTGGATCTTTTGCATCTTCTTCTTTAGTATCGACTTTTAATGTCTTCTGAAGCGAAGCAAAGATTTCATTTGTTTCTTCCGACAGACATTCGCTGCTTATTTCATTTTCTAATTTCTTAGGAGACAACATGGTTGCTTTTGGAGAAACAGCTACATTTGAATCTTTTTCAATTGTGTCATTTTTAGACGAACTTATCCATTCTTTTTCTTTTTCATTTTCATCTGCGTTTTTTTCTTTCAAATCCGAAGGTGTTAAAAGTTCTTGCGGATCTTCTTGCTTATCTTCTTTCAATTGAACTTCTTCTTCATATTTGTTCTTGGCAATTCTTTTTCGTTCCTCTTCGCGATCAACCGAAGTTTCTTCTTCTTTTGCAGGCTACAAAAATAACATTTATAAAAATAATGTATAAAATAATGTATAATATATTATATTATAAGTACTACTTACCTCGGTTTCTTTTTTCTTTTCATCAATAGTCTCTTTTTCTTCCTCTTGTAATCCTAACAATCTATTATTAATCTTCAATTTAGTACCAATTTTGAATGTAATCTTTCCTCTGCTATCGTGAGAAATCTTTTTCGGTGGAATTTTACTTAAAGTTTGTCTTTCTTTTCTCAAAGCTTCAACGTAAGGATCTGAAGGCTCTGGAATATCGCTTAGATCGCAAGCCTGAATATCGCCAACAATGACATCGTCATCATCTGGAATCGAAGGAGGAAGAGGAGGCGGTTCAAGTGGTCCTATTTGTTGAGATAATTGTTGTTCGGTATGTCGAGCTACATCAATTGTTTGCGATGAATAAATAGAGAAATTTGGACAATCAGCTTGAGAATCTTCTTCTTCCTCGTCGTCATAAGTTGATAAACGTATTGATGTATCTGGAGTTTCTGTTTGTACAACGTTTTTCACAATTTGTTCTTTCTTCCCTTCTGTAACTTCTTCGTTTTTCTTTGTTTCACTATCACTATCGCTATCTACAGAAAAAGGATCATATTTATCATTTTTTGGGGTATCTTCTTTTTGACTATCATCAATAACTAATTCTTGATCACTATCTTTATCACTTCTAGAATTTTCTTCGAAATCTAAAAGTCCTGATGGAGGCTCTGGTGGTGGTAACAAAGCCATTGAACCATTTTGTTGATCTTGAAGCTCTCCATCAGATTTTGTTTCAATATCGCAATAAATATCACAATCCTCTTCTTGTCTAACAGAGGTATTTTCAGTATTTTGTGATTGTTGCTCTACAGAATCACTCCTAGGAGTGTCTTCTGGTAAATTTGGTGGCATATTATTTTGAGAACGTTCAAGTGCAGCTTGTGGGGATCTAGGACGATTGAATCTTTCAGGAAAAGAATGATGTTCAGAAAATCCTTCAGCGAAATTAAACTGTGGTCTCCCTGAAGGCATGAAACGGAATCTATAGAAAGAAAATTAAAATGTTTTAGATATAATTAATAAAAAATCAATGTAATAATTATCGATGAAGGACATTACAACTGCTTAAAACGGCACTACTTCAATTGTTTGTGTTTTATTCTCATCACTACAATATTATCTCGTTCTTGCTTTAATAGTAAATCGTTTTTATTTGGAACATATTCGTCATCAATATCTCGGCTAATAACGATATTTCACCTAACAGTAATTGATATTACAAAAATCAATTTTTATATTTTTAATTTTATAATTATGGGATTATTATAATCAAATTACTGAAAGTTATCAAAAAAAATAATACTAAATATACACATTTTAATAATCATATTCAAGTAATTAGATGTTGATAATGTATGATTAAAAATCAGTTGTATGATATACTCAGTTAATAGTTAAATTTTCCTATTTATTTTACGTTTAATATTTCTCACTCTTGTCTCCAACATTGAGCAAATGATTGAAAAAACATTGAAAAAAAATAATAGCTAGCAATTTTTAATTTTATTAATAAACACGACCTGATTTCAAATATGCCTATTAAAAAAACGACACTGATATATGAATAGCTTGACATATCAAAACTTTTTTGTTAATAAAAATTTCTTTTGATTAGAATAAAATTAACCAACATTGTTGGTTCTTTACGATATTAGTTATTCTTTATATAACAATTTGGTTATCCTTCATCGATGACGAAATATTTCTTTTCAAATTCTGTTTAATACCTTTCATTTCTGAAATGTTGAGGATTTCGATTTCTAAATGGAGGATTACCTCCAAACATTGGAGGTCCACAATGTTCAAAATTTGGATTATAAAACGCAGGTGATCCAAAATCTCTCCCAAAATTACTTCCACTTCCTCCATAACTATGTCTTCCACTTCCACCTAAAGAATCTCTTCCATAATTTTGCCCCCCATGACTATGTCTTGTATTATCTCTGTAACCACCTCTAAAATTGCCTCTGTTTCCTCCCCCACAGGGATTATTATACATTGGAGCCTGTGTAATCGATTCTGGATTAATAGTAGAAACTTCGAGTGGAACATCGGCTCTCGAAATTTCTAGTGGTGTATCAACTCTATCTTTTATAACCGATTCTGTTTTTTCGCTTTTGGATAACCCTTTTTCTGCTAATTTTTCTTTATTTAAATCATTTAATTTTTCCTTTTTTTCTGTCAAGACAAGTCCATTAGCTTTTAAAGTCACGTTATTATTTTTTGAATGCCAAATCTCCTGATCATGTATTATACTACTTAAAAGATCAAACTGAGGTTGTTGTGGAGCGACAATGTTTTTTAAACGTAAGTGTCTTCGAGGAGAAATTACAGAATGCCTCTGGACAGTTATAGTAGGACCAATAGTTGCATGATAATCTTCAACATCCGATCTAAAATGTTAAAAATCAAAAATATAAATTTAATTAATTTTAATATATTATTCAGTAATTTATTTTAATATTTAGAATTATATTTAGCAAATATTTAAAACTTGTATATTTACCCGGGAGGACTATAATCCAGATTTAAATGATTTCCAAGAAGACTTAAATTTGAGATTCCAGCATTATGTCGGGAAATTCTTAATGCAGATCTTTCTGGTATAATTGGTCGATTTTTAACATTAGGTATTAATTTGGGAGTACATGGCTTACAAATACCCAAAGAAACTGCAAGTCGTTTTTTACTAGTAGCTAAAACACTAGCTACTGTTCTAGCGCGACGTCTATGACTTTTTCTCTATAAAAAAAAAAAATAATCTTATTTTTAAAATTATTCTTTTAAATGTCTTATTTCTTTATTTGTTCCTTTGTTTCTTTAATAATTTGGATATTATACAATCAATATGACTAAATGTTTTGTGGAAGATGTTTTATTAAAAAAAATATAAAAACAAATTTGTTTGGTTATAAACGCACGCACGCACACGTGTACTTCCCCCCTCCCTCACAAACACACAATTAGGGACTTTCAAAAAGCAATGTTAAAATACCTTTCTTCTTTTTGTTTTTCTTCTTCTTTTAGAATCAACTGCCGCCACTTTGACATATGTTACGATTTCTTCCTCCTCCCCATTTTCATTGCATTCTGTAATTCTAACTTCCTTCAACAGAGTTCCTCTATTAGAAACATTTTTAGATCTTCTTGACTTTTTTGAATTATTTCTAGATTCACTTTTCCGTGAATTACGTCCAGATTGCTGACTCTTATTATTTTTCTTTCTAGATTTATTACCCGAATTTTCGGAATTATTTTTATCATTAATTCTTCTTCGAGACTTTCTGGAAACACTTTCATCACTGGAATCGCTGGAACTACTTCTATATTTTCGTGATTTTCCAGAATGTTTGTTTGAACAATTACGACCTCTAGAACCTAAAGAACTGGAGGCATTGCTTGAAGAACGACTCTGACTTTTATCTCCAAAAGACTCCAAACCAGATGAAGTAGAAGGTTGATTTGGATCAAATGTCAGTTGTTGAGTTAATTGCGTATCATCTAGCCTATTTCTTCTGTAAATACCAATTTTGCATTTATTGACTTTAAAAATTTTTATATTTTAATTTTTATTAAATTTTATTAATGAAATTCAAATTACACATATTTCATGTATATTAAATACCTTCGGATAGTAGCTCTAACACGTTCTGTATGTCTAGTGCGAGGTATAATTCTTGGATAATAATCTTGTGGTATATTACTACGAATTCTTCCATAAGATACACCAAGTCTGCGAGCTTCTTCCAAAACATTTATGACTTCACCTAATGATTTTATAATTGTCTCCTAGAAATAAATGATATAATATTTTGTTTAATCTTTCAATAATTACATATAATTACTAGCAACAATATTTTATCTAATTATGAACAGCTTACAGTTTCTGAATTAGTTTGGTTATTCTGGGAACAATCTGGACAAAACCACTCTTCTATGGGTACTTCATTTAATGGAGGAGTCAAACATTCTAAATGATAACCACGATCACAACCATCACAAAGAAGCATACGATCTTCTCTGTTACATTGATGACATACTTCACAAAATGTAAGATCATCCAATTTTTCTTCCTCACTCGAAGCAACTTCTACTGGGACACATCTTACAATCTAGAAAAAAACGTAAAACTAAAAATTAATTTTTATTCTTTAGATGATTTTTTTTTTATTTTTATAATACATACTTGACCACCAAGTTTTTCTCTGACATTAATTACTGTAAAAGTTTGTCGATCAACTGGACAAGTATTTATATTTTTACTCCATTCAATTAGACATTCTAAACAAAAACAATGTTCACAAGAGGCAGGACTGCCTAATTCCTGCCTTTTAAAAGGAAGTAAACAAATTGGACACTTTTCTACTTGATCATCATTATTGTCTGTATCTGTATCTGATACAATTTTTTGAGGTTTTTTAGCTTTTGGTTTGCCCAGAATTTTTCGTGCCACAGATCTTTTTTCTAATTCTGATGAACTGCTCCAGTCTGATTGCCATTCTGAAGTTTCACTACTGTCTCCTAAAAAATAAATTTGACGGATTATTATTATTATCTGTAAATTTAATTCTGTGAAAAAATTGAATGATAATTAAAATTTTAATTGTTAAATATCTTTAAACTAACCAAATTGCTTGTATTTACTACTACTACTTGAACTGCTGCTTTCATAACTTGACTCATCTGCAATAACTCTCTGGAAAGAAAATATATTTTTATATATATTATTATATGTATATATTTTTATAATGTGCCATATATTTTCAAAATATAATAATTACATAATTCATTTCATAGATATAAAAATGAAAATTTATAATAATCTTCCAAATAATAAAGTGTGATTCATTATATGCTAAATATTCGATTTTATTGAGAGCTTACATGATGTTTCATTCGAATAGGTCTTTGAACATCACTATCTTCATCACTAGTTTCACCTTCACTAATGAATTTCTAAAAATATAACAGAGACAAGAAAATTTAGTTGAATTGAAATCTTATACATTTAAAAGTAATAAAATATAAATGGTACATACAAAAGTCTTTTTTCTTCTACGAGATTGCACTATAGATTCATCGCTATCTTCACTGTCAAGTTTGACAAGTTTTTTTCGCTTGCCAGATTGAGGAGTTTGATTACTGTCACTAGACATTTTAACTTCTTTGTAAAATCATATCTGCCTTATTACATATCCTATATGTAATTAAATTAAAAAACATTATCATTATTAATGCTTAATAATATTTAAAATACATTTTATATAATTATGTTTTTTTTATATATTTCAGTGATTTGATATATTATTCTAGATTTTCTATTAATTATCCTATATCATTAATTATGTTACTTTATATTTTTAATAAATTTCAATATCAAAAATCTAATCTTTTATAAAGTACAATTATGTTATCAAAATAATGTCTGTTTAATAAGATTTAAATTAAATATTTTAGATTGGAATCAGATCACGTCTATCGATGAAATCATAAGACATTACAAAGTAATTAGAGAAGATAAAGTACAAAAGAAAGTTGAAAAATTAAAGTCAAACAAACATAAATCTGATTTAATGCAAAGATTATTAACAGATGTGAACTTAAGAATAAAATTTAGAATAAATATTGTATTATAGAAAAAATAGAAACTGACAAGATACATAGAATGTTCATGTGCTTCTGTTATAATTCATTATTTTTTAGGAAAGTAATAAATTAAATAAAATTGTAGTTGAATAGAATCGTAATATAAATATTATTATTTTATTAAATAAATAGAAGCGAAATAAAGTTTTATTTTACAATTGAAATGAAATAAAAATCACTATTACAACCAAGTACACATTTAATGCATAAAACTATATTTTTAACTTTCAGATCTCATATTTTGCAGAATAAATTGAAAGTAACTATTTTGGTTTACAATTAAAATGATATATGGTCGGTAGAAATTTCAAAATATTTCATTTACATATCTATCTAAAACTCGTCAAGATACTTTGTGAATCACTGTATATAACCACATTAACACATCACTAAATTTTTTTCATTGGTACGAAAGATATTCAAACAAATTACTTTATCCTCTGATATAATTTGCAATAATTTTTCCTAATCGATCTTTCTTTCAGAATGCTTATGAAAAATTTTAATAATAAATTTCCAATATTTCCAATGGAATTGCATTCAGAAAAAGGGACGAGGATCGAACAATTCGAGGAAGAACCTAAAAAATGTCAATTTACCTTCGAAATTCTGACGATTCCGATTTTTCACTGTATCAAGAGGATCTAATATCGATCATACATCATTAATGATTTAATTATTGGCTGATTCGATGTTGACTTCGATGGAGATTTACAAATGTTGACAGAGGGTACGCTTAAAGTTGAGAAACTGCCGACATTTTGGCTGCCGACGCCGTTCGCGACGTTGCGCTATTTTCTCACTGCTTGTCTAACTTTTCCAGAAACTAGATATTCCATAATTATTTATATGAAATAAACTACATTTTGTTTTAAAAGAAATATTCGTGCTCACAACATTTAACTGGAACGTTTTTAAGATTTAAATTGTTCAAGTTTATTTAGATCGTGAATTGATTTTTCGATGAGCATCCGCCGGAAGTTACAGAGAGCAGTAAATTTAACTTTTGGCTTAACTTCGAGTTGTAACATTAGTTATGTATATCGTATCTTAGAAATAAGCTCTCAGAGTATGCGATTTTTGTTGTTTATTTATAATTTAAAATTCATCTAAAACTCATCTTTTTGTATAATTATATTATTTTTATACAACGTGAAAAATTTGTTAAATTGTATTGTATTTTAGCATGTTATCACTAATTATTATTCAAACTCATAATTTAATTCAAACTAATTACAACTTGATTAAAATAATATATTTTTAGTTTGGCATTAAATATATACTCTACAATTGTAATGTTTTTCAATCGTTTTCTCATCATAATTCTTAGCTCAATTTTCCCGGGCAAATTTTAAGTATGTAGTTCTAGATTTTGCCGACAAAGTTAAAAGAGCCTTGCTGTCTCTTGTAAATGAAAACTACGCAAAGATGGGTCGTATGCACGCACCAGGGTAAGATTATTTGAATTTTAGTGAAAATTATCAACACATTTAAAATTAGTTTTTTCTTTGCATGCTTTTTAATTTTTTTTTTTTACTATCAGAGTATAATTTCATAAATCTTTTTGGATAAAAGATTTTCACAACAATGTTCTGTTAGTGTCCATGTGTTTCTTAAATATCGCGATAGTTGTATTTTCTTAAGAATAATTCATATGATTTAATATGTGTTAACGACATTGTAAGTAATTTTAAGTTCGGAATGGAAAAGAACTTATCTTTTTTACAAATTTTTTGGAATCTATTTTCTTTTTATACATAACCTCAATTTATCTCTCAGTCGTCTTAATATTTCTGAATCGGTTAATGTATTTTTTTTTATTCATCTCCATATTTTTGCGTATACATTATATAATTCTTATTAAAAGCATGAGGTATTTTAATGAAATTTTATAACATTGCAGAAAAGGTATATCGCAATCAGCGCTACCTTACAGACGTAGCGTCCCTACGTGGCTGAAGTTAACTCCAGAGGACTGTAAGGAATTAATTTATAAATTAGCTAAAAAAGGGCACACTCCGTCACAAATTGGTAATTTCTTTTCATTTGATGTAACTAATTTATTGAAAATTTCAAAAAGGATATTGATATGATACATTATATAAGTTTCATCTTTATTGCTTTTATGTTTTGTTTATCAAAATTTGTTTAGATTTAATTTTTCTTCAGCGAACTAATTAAGATTCAATGCTATTATTGTTTATCACAGTAGTATCAGAATAGTTTCCAATAGTAAAAACTTAGTAAGTTTTAGGATGTGACATTTTGTCATGCTATTATAGGCATTCATAAAAACTTAGAAATTAATATGTGATACAGTTTTATTAAATTTACTTATTTAATGTATTATTTTAAGTAGATGATGATATTTTTCAGGTGTAATTCTTCGAGATTCCCATGGAGTTGCACAAGTGCGTTTCCGTACTGGAAATAAAATTCTGAGGATTGTCAAAAGTATGGGTCTCGCACCAGATTTACCTGAAGATTTATATTATTTGATTAAAAAAGCAGTAGCCATCAGAAAACACTTAGAGAGGAATCGAAAAGATAAGGACAGTAAATTTAGATTAATTCTTGTGGAGTCTAGAATTCATAGACTCGCACGTTATTATAAGTCAAAAGGAACTCTTCCAGCAAACTGGAAATACGAAAGTTCCACAGCCAGCGCATTAGTTGCGTAATTATTTTTATGCATCTTTTAACAAAATAAAGCTTCAAATATAAATTATTTGTGTTTTATTACATGTAATTCATTTCATCTCTTTAACTTTCTATCCTTATTTATAATGCGCTTAAATGTAGTTATTTGAACAAACATACTCGTGTGAAGATCACTTTCATAACATTGATAATGAGACGATGCGGATTTTGTGTATTTATGAAAAAGTAGAAATTGAAAAAATGTATACACGTTGCATACACTATACAAAAATACCTATATAAAATATCCAGAATAGAAAATATTATAGTGTGTAGATAAAAGAAATATTTTTAGATTCTATTTTGTTAGTGATCATAAAAATTTTAAAATGCATATAATCTGTATTTTAATAACGAGTAATAAGATATTAATCATTCGTTCACATATTAATGTATATTATTTTATTAGTAAATAAATGTACAACTTTTTATTTGTATTTAAATACAATTAATTTAAAATATGTAAATGGAGACGTTATATTCTGCGATATAATTCACGTTATAATACAGAAACAAAATAAATTGTTCACGTTCGAGATTACTCGAATCCTTCACCTTTACTGTCCCAATTCAGACCCATATAGCATGAAGAGGGGTCCGCGAAAAAACCAATACTGCGCATGCGTGATCTTTGTCCTCAACTTCTCTTGAGGACAGCGCATGCGTTCACCAAGATGGCGGATAGGTTCTCACTCTCCAGTGAGCAAAGCTCTTTCAAAGCTGCTTCATATTAAAAATATATCTGAAATATTTTCTCAGTTTTTTAATTAATCTGAAGATATAATTTGCGTCGGAAAATTTCCTATTTGTTTTTTTTTATTTCGTCAAAGTGAGATTAACAAACTGTACACGTGAATTCCACGATTTCAGGAAGTGAATTATGGGTAATGGAGAAGACGCGAGTGCCTTTGACGTTTGCGAACCATATTGAAAGGCATTTGGAAAAGTTTTATTACCAAAGAAAGGTATGCTTATTAACAAAATGAAAAGATATGTTTTTAGAAAGTTTTAATGGCTATGTTTAGCTTTGTAACGATTAGTTTTTAAATATTAATGTCCATTGCTATGCGCTACTGTTTCAGTGATTTAAATGCTAGTTGTACGAATGATCTTCTGTTCATTTTTTATTAACTGACAAAATTAAAATTACACGTGAAATCCTTTGCTATTTTAAAGTTTAAAATTAAGATTAATAATTTAGAACTTTAACAATCTATATAAATGATAGTAGAAGGTTTTTAAATACTCACGAACTGTATGAAGGTATATAACATATGGGATTTATTCGTCGACATGTGTGAACGTCTTTATAATTGTAATTATAATTGTAATAACTTTTTTATAATGAAAAATCTGTTGTCTTCTTATTTCGCTAAAATAAAAGATATTTTTCACTTAATACGTGTAATTGCTAAGAATTCAATATTTCTATTAATGTTACATCAGTATCGTAAGGAATTAAAACAATCAAATATGCATAAAAAAATAATAATGTAAAAGATTATATAATTAAACAGTATATTAATTTGTAAAATTTTAAGAATAATTAAGAATAATTAAGAATAATATATCGTAAATGTATAATTTGGTCAAATTTTCCATTGCTGGAAGGTTTTAGATTATTCAACCATTAACAAAAGTGAAAGTTTGTTGCTATTAAAGAGATATTTTCATAATAAACATGTTAAAGATTATAGCAACCTATATCTATAACCACTGAAGTAGATATTTTGATAGATATCATTTAAATATTAGATCGTTTAATTATTGATAACGCTTATTTCATTATTAGTTGTTCTGACATTAATATCAAAATAGTCTAACGCCTAACTTTAAATATTGTATTGGCTGCTTAAATATTGTATTGGTAATTGTTATTTTTGCTACTTTCTTATTAAATTTTTATTACTTTTAAAACATTAAACATTTCATTAAAAATGATATATACAATAACATAGTAATGTAAATACTAAACCTATAAATATAAAATAAAAACTAAAATCTGTGATTCTTTTTTGTTAATATATTTAATAATAATATTTATTGTTTTATTGCTTTTAAAATTTAGATACTTATTGCGATAACTTGCAATAGTAATTGATTGAAAAGAAGTATTACATAGTATTTTATATATGTGTAGGCACACGTGTTTGTAAAATATATTTATTAAAAGTTGAAATTACAATTGTTATTTATAGCTGTACACATAATCGTGAAGATTTCTCGGTCATTTATCTGATAATCTATTTTATTCAGTTAATTATACATTGAAGTAATTAACACAGAAATGCAAGTGGCATATGAAGTGAATGTTTGTTTCAAGGATTCCCTAATTTCATTACTGAAACGTATAATGTAAAACATTCAATCTGTAATCGTATCTCAAATCTGTAATCATATCTCAAATTTGAATACACTAGTATATTCGTTTTAATTGAACTTAGTTCACACAGTATTATTAATTCTAATAAAAATAAAATTAATGATAAATTATTACGATATTGTTACGGGAGAAAAGTGATTAAAGTCAAATATCCGGCTCATTTATTTTAAATACGAAAAGAGAAACAAATAGAGAGAGAGTAGTTCTTATACTTATTGAGACGAATTTTATATCGTGGTTGGGAGATTTCAACGCCTATGTTATTAAGCGATGTCACGGCACATAATACATATGTGTATACATATATACATATGTACGTATATTTGTTAAAATACATTTATAATAAGATTTCTAAAATAACACACACGATTAATAAAAATCATCCTTATTTTATAATTACAACACTCATTTATCTTTATCCTTAAATTATAGATGTCCATTAGTTTTATCATTAGTACAATCGTTCAGCTTCCAAACGACTTCATCTATTTATGCTATTTATTATATATTCTTTGAATAATTTTATTTATTATAAATAATAAGAATTAAAATAAAATTAATTTCGTATAACTATTTTGCTTAATTAAAGGATTTTTTTTTCACTCAAATGCTGGAGTTTCTAAAATTTTCCAATAAATTGTGAAAGTAAACTAAAAATTCAGGTTTTCATTACAGATGATTGCTCTATAATTAAGATGTATGTATGTACATATTTTGTGTCCGAAGCCTATATATTATATACATAAATTATATATATATATATATATATATATGTACTTTGTATTTTTACTATGTCATTACACTATTGATGAAGATTATATGTATATAATAGGTACACAGTACATACGCATATATAAGTTTATAAGCATAAGTACGTCCGTGAAACGTGTTAAGGAAGACATATGTATTTTGTATTCGATTCATGCCTTACGACACAGGCATTCGTTCCTTTAAGCAGCGAGGAAAAACCGACACTAGCCGATACATTCTAAAAATGTTTAAAACTTAACTTTTCGCAAGTTGACACGCGATGGTCTAAAGACGTTACGCCTCAGTATAGTTGCTGCATGGCTGCTCAAGTACATACGCTTGCAAATATAATCTGATTTTATAAATATTTTCATGATTCAGCAATGAGACAATCACGTGCATCATATTTCTTTGATCTTTTAAGCAATACTGTTTATGGAAAAATAAGAACAAATTATTTGTACTAGAATTCATTATCACAGACTATCGAATTTCCCTTTGTGCCGATTGTATTCCATTTGTTGAGTTGAACTTGAAAATGAATTGAAAATGAACGTGCTTTGCAGATCGAAAGAATTAACTCAATTTCTTCAATGTGACTTACTGATTTGAAAATTTTTTATAATTGTATTATATGCGTTACAAATAAAAATCATGTTTTCTATAACTGTCTTAATACGTGATAATTACGGTGCATCATTAAATCTTTGATAATTTGAATACGTATAAAATCAATTATTAAATAAATTACATCAAATATATTTGAATGGCAGTGACCTATGGTATCTAGTAGAAGAACAACTTTCATTGAATCGGTATGAGCGTTCCTCAATATTCAGATTAATCGGAAAGTAACGTCAAAGTATAAGGAACACAAGGTAACTTTTATTTTCCTACAAACAATTTTAATAAAAAATATAGTAAGAATATTGTGTAGTATGCGACGAAAGTTTTAAGCAAAGAAATGCACTGTTAAAGGATAAGAAATTAGACCGAGGGAAACAAGATCAATTCCAAATGATATTTCTTCGACTTTTAACAAAGAACGAAAACAGAGATTTAGATTTAAAGAAAGAAATTATAACACAAATGCAATCTAATTTTTTTCTTTTCTAACATTTCGAAAAAATAAAAATCCTCGAGCATGTCGAAAGAAATCTTTCGATTTAAAAAAAGAAAGAAAGATGTTGATTTGAAAGTAATAGTCGTAGCGTGCAGATGATAAACTATTTAACGATTCATATTCCAAGTCAAGCGCCATGGAAAAAGGGGTTTCGATTCCGCCTAGAATTTCCCTGAAACTTCTGGCTTTCACTTCTCTCCGAAGAATGCGAAGGCTGAGTACTGCCAGACCCGTACCAACCGCCCCCTTCACCAGTGTGCAATACGTTTAGAAAATTTTTCAACGTCGTCGAATAGAGCCAGTCGTAGCTCGTCCGGTCTTCCCCACTTTTCGTCATTTCGAGAAAGTGAAAGACACAGGCTCTTGCCACTCGCGGTTAATTGCGAACGCGAATTTTCTGTTTCCCCAAATGTTAATGACTCAGAATGGCTGGAAAAACGTATGATCTTTCCTCTTAGAAACAAACTGAATATTTTTTCTCATTCGTCGCAATTTCATCATCTTTTTCTTTCTTCTTCTTGTTTTGAAAAAAAAAATTTGTTTTTTCAGTATTTACAAAAAAAAAAAAGAAAAAAAAAGATCACTTTAACATACATAAAACGCGTCTCATAAAAAAATTTTGACATTTTTATTAAAATTTTAAATTCATAAAATATATGTGAGGTAGGATATGTTTCATTATAGATTTGAATTAAAAAAATTTCTAATATTGATCGAAAATTTCATATATAATATTTATTGGTGTTGGAAGATTTATAAATGATAATGGAATTTTAAATATAATATTTTTATGAATTATTATTTTAAATCTCCTCATTATAATAATTTATTTCGTAAAAGTTTTTCTTTTTAATATAAATTTTGGATGAAATAATAGCTTTTGAAAATTGTGCTTTCCACGTTAGATATAGCGGGAGAACGTAATTCAAAATACGTAGAGATGTTTTAACTCGGTGAAACAATGATGAATGAATAATGAAAAATTTCATGAACAATCTCACATACGATTATATTTTCAATTAATTACATTTGATATTGTACATCGTGTTTTTATTATTAAAACGCAATACCATTAAAATGATTATAAGATATTGAATATTGATATTAAATAATTAATTGGAGCGAATATTATTATTTCGCTTTGCGACTATATTTTAAATAAAACGTGATCAATTAATATTAGAACAATGGATATGAAATGCAGTTGATAACATTTTATTTAAAATCGCAATTATACAGTCACCTGTTTGTTACATCGCGATAGAAATATTATACAGCAAAAGTATAATATTTCTGTTGTCCTAAAAAATTAATATTATTGAATTGTTATGTATATAATTGTTATCGTTTATTGATTATTGTTCGATAGTTTTCAAATTTTGAAACATCAGACTCAAAGCATAAATATTTTCCGTAGTCTTGTCGATCATTTATTGTGCTAATATAATCATGATGATACAATGTTCAATGATGTGAATTATATAAAATAATTACTTTGAACAGTTTATAAATCATCATTACAAAAAATGATTATTATCTACAGATTGAGAGAATCTTTCGGTGAAAAATGGTATCGAGACGAAAGATTCTATCTCGATCGAGGGACAACCTCGTTGAATCACAATACGAGGACCAAGACGAGGAAGACGTATGGTATAATCTCGATAAACTTTACAAGGTAAAAATATATCAGCAATATAACAGTAATACAATAGTTAATAAAAATTTTCCTAATTTTAGTTTGAGAAATTTCTTCGTTGTATAGTAGTGGATATTTTATTAGTAATTGTTATCAACGATGAAAAGCATGGTGATTTTATTTCAGGATCATATTCAAGAGGTACTGGACAAATGGAATCAAATCGACGACGAAATATGGGCCAAGGTAATCGTTTTCGAAAGGAACCGAAGAGTAGCAAAAGCGTACGCCAGAGCACCTGTTCTCACGATCAATGGATCTAATGATGGATTCGATGGTTTCAGGTAAGCGGAAATTATACAAATTTTCAAACGCAGAAAACGCTTCTAAAAAGTTAAAATTCTAAAAGTCTCAACGAGAACAAAAAAAAGTAAATAAATAAATAAATAAATAAATCTCAATAGTAATGTATAAAGAAAAGTTACAAGGTTCATATTTTTAACATAAAATATTTTACAAAGAGAAGAGACGTTACATTTCCTATTGTTTGTGAAATATAGGATAGGATTATGCGGTTTCGAAAATCCTATGAGAGATTCGAAAACAGAAGAAGCAAAGAAACATATAAATCAAGGTGTAAAGATTAAAATGGACGAGCAAGGGAACATACTAATAAAAAGGTTGTGTAAAAATAATGTTTACATAAAACCGACCAGTCAGGAAGACAATGCAATTGGAGCAGAAATTGCACGGAATTCTCAAGGAGCATTAGAACACGAAAAACCGGGGAAAGTGAGTGTTCTACAATATATTTCTCAAACGCTCCTTTCTCTTGCATTTCATTCACGTAGACATTATATGATAAATTTTGTTTCTTTTTCTTTTTTGCTTTATCATAATTTTTTTTTTTTTGATATGTTGTTAGATATTTGATATGAATAAATTTCAAACAAATCTTTCTCGAGAGACTCGAAGGGCATATCCAGATAGAAGAAGATTAGAAATGCAGTGTCTGAGTGCAATTGTTTTCGTCAGAACTGAACCAGATCTTCTTCAATGCCCTGTATGGGTTTTAATTGTAAATGTTGTCGGATTAGATATGTTGAAATCCAAGTTACCACCAGGTGCAGTACCAAACTACACTACAATTTTGGTTTATCAATATAAAATGTAATTTAAATTCAACATAGAAAGAAACGCGTGCTCATAAGTGTATATATATATTAGTTTTAGCGCTACAAAGGCCGGTGGATATTAAAAATCGACCTAGGATACCGATTCCTGATGAAGATCCTTATAGTATAGCAGGAGTTTCATCTTCAATTGGAGTTTCTGAAGCGTTCCAACAGGATCGAGAAGCTCGAGAACAGATCTACGCTCAATCAACAAGTAGTAGACAAAGAAGAGCTGAAAGACCACCTAAACTACCACCAAGGGAAAATCTCTATAGTCACGATATACCTAAAGTAATTATGTGTACACAATTTTTCTTATTGTTGTTACCTTTTGATATTGCCTTAACGTAATAATATTTAATAATGTTATGATTCATTTCAGCCCGATTATGACGACATAGAAGATGATTATGCCAGGAAACCTGTCATAACAAACGAAGACAAGAGAAGTAGAAACGACGACAAGAAGAAATACGGTAAATGGTTGCTTAACAAATTATCTAGACATTTAAACTATTATCATAAAAGAAAATGTATGGTAATAATGATAAAAGTTCTTTCTTTTGAGAAAGTACGTTTAGATACATTTCCTCTTTAATAGACGATCCGTATTACTGCGGATTAAGAGCTCGTGTTCCTAACTTCGTAAAGATGGCGAAAAATAGCAAAGTTTCAACAAGAGGATACGCTAGACCTCCTAATCAAGCACCAACATATACTGCCACGGGATACGCCACTAGCCAATCTTCTCAAATTTATGGCCATTTACCTGGCAATCGACCACCAATTATGTATCATGCACGAAGCTTCGAAAGCGGACTTGGTATTATAACACACTTTTAGTGGAATTCTGAAAAACTTTTATACTCTAATTCAACGTATCAGTTAATTGAAAAATAAATTTGTTACTTTTTTTTTATAGATTCGGATGGTAGAAATGAATCGCCATATAATCATATATATGGAAGGTTTCCTGTACCAACCAGAGGTGTAATTCCTCCTACACCTAGAGCAATGTATATTGGAGAGTGGGATTAAAAATAAAAAAAATTAACAAAAAAGGAGTCAGCGTATGAACAAGTATCAGTTTGAAAGGAAAATAAGACAATATCGTCATCAATGAACATAAAGGATATTTTGCATGAAAAACATGCATTCATTAAAAACAGACTAAAGTAAAGACTATATGCAAGAAATATAAATATAAATAAATAATTAGCAACATAAAGAGTTAAACCGAGAATGGAGAAATAATAAAAAAAGGAAGAACTAACCTTCCGTTTGTACCTATAAACTGTATATTGTTAATGTACTACTTGAAATACTCAAATTTTTATTGCAATAAAATTGTAGAACAATGCGAATTTTTATTTATAAACCTTTTGAGGAAGTATAAAGTTTTTTAATTGAAAGGAAATCATTTTAATATAAAAAGAGAATGTAAAGATGTACAAAATTAATACAAAATTTGTATAGAATGCAGTACAATTTGTAGGATATGGCAGGAGTTGTATATAATATAACAGAAGTGATTTTTTTTTGTATGTAGATAGAAAACATTCTTTGTTTTATGAAAAAGGTTCGATCTTTGTTTTCTTTTTTTCTCAAAGATTATACTAAAAATGATTTTATTGATTAATTTAATCATTTTTTTGCTATTATTTTGAAATCTTATTTGTTTGGTAACTCATTTATTACACCATTGATTTTGTCTGCAGGAATTTTTGATTTTAATAAATTTATTGCATGATCAATAACAGCCTTTTCGTTTGTTTTCAAAATTTTTATAATTTCATCTACTGAGGAAATTTTCGATATTTCAATCCAATATCCTTCAAGATATTTTAATAATTCTTCCATTGTTTCTTTGGAATCTTCTTCTTCTTCTTTCATTGCTAAGGATATACACACAATTATAAACATTTATAAACTCATTTATACATAATATAATCATTTACCTGTATTGATGCTAACTATAATTTTTAAAATCGTTGCATCTATGTCAGCTGTAGAATCTGCTCTTAAAAATCCTTTCCATCGAAAATCGAGAATCATTTCTGCACATCTATGAACGCAAGAAGCTTTAGTTTCATCTAAAGGATAAAAATTCCACGGATCGATAAAACTTGATAAAATTCTTCGCAGAATTTCTACTGTTCTGCTTAAATTGTCTTCTTGCAAAATTTCTTGATGAATTTGATGTCCCTTTCGAAGAATAGAAAATAGTTCTAACCAGTCTTCAAGATATTTTAAAGTCGAAGCTGAATAAGGTGCTTCTTCTTGAGGGAAAACTTCTTCAAACGATTCCAACATTCCTATAAATTTTAATTTTCTCACTTCTTTTCTACCTAAGATAAATTGAATAATTTTTTTTTACTAAAAACATATTAAAATTCGACACCTGGCAGAAAACTGGAAGATTCAAATAGATCATCTAATAATGTTTTTCCAGATGGAAGATCGATCTCTGCCGAAGAACGTAAGAAACTTGTCGTTGCGATCAAAAGTTCCTCTGTAATAATTTATTTCAATCAATAACAAATAAAAAGTTCTATCTGCTTTAATTTCGTTAATATTGATTAATATTGCAAAAGAGCATGTAGTTTATTGTAATACTTACCATTTGTGGAACTTTTTAAAATAAAAGGAACTACTTCTCTCAGAAAGGTTGAATTTCTTAAATTAGCTCTCCATTTTGATTCAGGATTGGTCTGAATATTCCACAGTGCACAACGCAAAAGTCGAAGTATTTGTACTAACGTAGCAGTGTCCTCAGAAGAAAGGAGACGAAGAATTGTTTCAAGAAGTTCTTCTTTCTCTCCTAATATATCAAGTACTGATGGTTCACAGGTCATATTTCCAATTATTCCCAAAATGATTTCCTATAAAGTATATAGAAATATTATAATTAATAAAGAAAACAATTACTGAAAAATGAAACACAATTTGAGGAATCAAATTATTAAATTAAGATACTAAGAATTCTTTACTCAATATAAAATATCAAAAAGAAATATAATTTCTTGATAGTTGAAAGTTTAACATTTAAATTTTTAAGAATTCTCATAAGTTTAAAATTATATGTAAAATATGTTTAAGGTACTTTAATGTATTAAAAAATTAATTATTCAACTAATCACTGAGTTAACATTCAACTATCAAATAAGTTTATGATTAAAAGTTTTAGATACATAGAAATGAATAGTCTACTATTTAGCAGCAATTTAGTTTAAATATAAAATCATTAAAATTTATAAATGCATAGAATTTGGAATACAGAGTTGGAATTATATGGAATAAAAAAATTAAGGGCTGCAAATTCTTACACTATAGAAATCATGGAACTCAGGAAATGCTTTCTAAAGTTTTTATTGAATAAATAAAATACAGGTTCAAAATAATCTTAAAACAAATCGTACCGTAAACCTTGGTTCTTCAGAGGAATTCAAAGCAAGTTCTGCAATCTTAAAAAAGTCATTGTCCACAAGAAAGTTGACAATGTCTTTCTCAGTTGTCATATCCCACAGTGTGCATAAATCATTCTCCACTTTTTCATTCCAACCATCCTCAGGAACCTTCAGAATTATTATTAAATACCAAGTTACAAACAATAAATATTAATGTGTGATTAATTATACATCACAAAAATTAACTTTGACAAAGCTTAATCTGCTACGTAAAACAAGTGAAACTTATAGTTCATTATCAAATTATTAAGCTCACTGTTTCAATTCGATTTATTGTTTATTAAAAACAAATAAGAATTTACATAATTACTGCGAGCTTGAAGTAAATGTAACTCAACTTAGAGACTATGATAGTTACCTTTGATATTGAAAGTAAAATACTAATTATCCATTTGCCACTGTAGAGAGTATCTCCGACAATATCTCCTTTTAATTTTTCAATTTCATCCTCTGCGATTTCTTGTGCTTCTAATACTGCATTTGATTCTAATTTATCATTCTCAGATTCTTGAACTTCGCTCATTTTCCCTACTCACTAAATCACTATTTGTTCTAAACTATATTTAATTACTTTAATTTACTAACAATATGAGTACCTAAGACACACCTAGTAGGATAACAATAATTTTATCACAAATCATTCACTTTCTAATTTGAGCTTGGAAAAGTTTGTCGACAACCTAACCTCTTTCTACACTTACTATTACTCCAGCTACATTGCCTCTTACTTCAACGCATTCAAGTTTATGAAAAATCACTACTGGAATATTTTTCTCTCATATTACAGCCACTGTCGTAAATTGTAAATTGTAGATTTAAAAACATGTCGATAACACAATGCGAATTTTATCACAGACGATAATCTATGATTTAGGTTAGGTTAGATTTAGGTTGAGTCGAGAGCATGCTACGTTGCGGGAATTGCACCGTGAATGGAATCCAGAGGAATTCCCGTGGCTTTCCTTCTGCTAGCGACGGTACTACTGTGGGGGTTTTAGTCGATAAGAATCCGACATTCCCTGTGCTCCTTCTCTCAAAGGAGCTAGGAGTCTTATGTAAGATTTCCCCCACGTATAAAAAAAAAGATTAGGTTTAGGTTAAGTTTCTTCCAATGAGGATATTTAGATCAACAATCAAATGATTCGACAAAGATTACAAAGTCATACATGAAACTCATTTTTGTTGTTGTAACTATTTATGAATAACTTCCGTTTAACAAATTTCGAAATAAATAATAATCTCTCTCTGCGAGAGATCAAATCAAACTGAAGCGAAGGTTCCGACTTGTTGCAAGAAATTTACAAATGTTCAAAAATGCATTATAGGTCAAACATTGTATAGAAGGAAGGGATTTAATTCGGGAAATACAACTGTAAAAATTCACAAATTAATATTTTTAAGCTTTTTCTTTCGAAAATTCCATTATTTCATGGACGCTGAAACACTACGCGCCGCGTAGCGATCAAACGATGGAACTAAAATTTATTGCTATCCTTGTCACTCACTAATGCGCTCTTTGTCTGATGAACAAGTGCTGCTATCTATTAGGGTTTTCATTTTCACTTTTTTAGTTCTAGACGTTAAACAGTGCTTAGATGGCAACACGCAACATATATTCATCCTTGTCGCACACAAGAGCGCTCCTTTACTAACAACAAGCAACTTTGATTACAATTAAAAGAAGACAAAATACAAGACTTCATCTTAATTTCTAAGAAGCTGTATTTGGCGAAAATAATTGATACATTATATCTGAAAAAGCACGATTATATAAAATGTTATAAATATACTGCAGCCAGTGATATAGCTATTAACTTTTTTAATGGGTTTCATATTGAAATTTCATTCTTACAGAAAACCGTACCACGTAGGTCATTATAAATCAGAGATAAGTAAGTTTAATCCAATTTTTTAATCTCTTCACGTATCAGTTTAGCTAATATTGAAACCGCCTGAAATCAGAAGAAAATACACGAATAATAATTATCAAACAGAAATGAGTGAAATCTTAAAACAAATTTGAGATAAAA